TTTAGATGTATGTATCCCAAGTCGGACGTGGTTCATACTCATTCCGCAGCTCGTGGCCACGGTGTGGGCCGTGAAGCTCTGTCGCTCCTACAACAATAATTTAAGCCGAATGGGTGGCTTCCGAGAGGATGACGCTCGTCGCTCACAAGGTACCGTAGAAGGTGGCGTCACTCGAGCAGAACCTCGCACGTCCGGATCTCATTTGGGTTTCCGTTCTGGTTCCGCGACGACGCTGCAGGAAGAGCTCGCGCTCGTTCTTGAGAATTACGTCTACAACAATGCGCTTTTTGACCCCTTAGTCTGCGATGGCTGATCGCGCTCAGTCAGTCGTCGGTCGACCGCAGTGTCCCTGTGAACGGATCGAAACGTTAATTGAAAGAGAGTGGCGAACTTTCTCCGGCCGTGGTGCTCGTCCGAAATGATTTGGGGGATTTTCGAGGGCCCCTCCTTTTCGATGACAGAGTCGACGCATTATTTCAGAAGATAAGAATTTGCTTCAAAAAGGGGAGCATCGCGTCGAACGAATGAACGAGGCACAACGGAGCTGGCATTGAAGCCGATAAGATAATGAGCAGTGAGTTGACAGCGGATCAGCAGAGACGGCGATTGAGTCTTTTTTCTTTCTCCTAATTTTTTTCTGGTTATTAGTTCCGATAGCGGTCCGTGTGAGCGCGAAAGGAGGGAGCACTGGCGGCCGACGGGTAAGTGAGAGAACCGATAAACAACGAATTAGCCAAAGTTCGATCGATTGCCGGTTTCGGCGATGAGGACAAGCAATGCTTTTCGGCTGCCCAGTTGCTTCTGGTCGCTCCCTCAATCTATCGATCCCGTGCGTCCATTCCATGGCTTTCGATCGTCTCTCGACCGTCCGTTCGATCGACCGCACCGTAGAATCTCAGCGGCTTTGCCCGATCGACTGGCTCCCTGGCTCTTTTGACTGGACACCCGTTCCTTCGGTCGGCCGCTCGCTCGCCTGGTCGGTCGATCGGGCGAGCAAGCGGCGATCTTCTCCAAAGACGGCTGATCCAATTTTTTTGCAAAGACGTTGTTGGCTGGCTTTTCGGCCGACCCCTCCCGAAGACGCGAAGTCGGGCCGGGCTCGTTGACCGGCTGCGGACGTTGCCGAAGTTGATGCTGATTCTAGAAGCGATGATAGCCACGGGCTGTAGCCGCTGTTTCTGTTGGACGACGGCGATAACGGTGTTGCTGAGGGGACAAACAGACGGACAAACGAACGAACGGATGGACTCACGGACATGCGGATGGACAGACGGAGCGGACGAACGAATGGACGAAGGAATGGTCACACGGGTGGGGATTCCGGTCGTATGAAATGGCATGGGCTCAGAATCTTTTCGGAAAAAAAATCGACCACATTTCGCTCTTTACAAACTGATCACAGACGGCGGGGTGACCGTCGTAGAGCGCAGAAGTTGCTCCCGAAGATGTCGAATGCCATACTGGTATCCTACCGAGGGACTTATGCTCTTCGACGCATGTCCTCACCTAATTTTCGGGGACATATGAGTGAATTAGGATTGTCTTTCGTCGAAAATTCCTCGAGGTCACTGAATAATGAGGCCTCGACCGACGAATCAAGAACGACGTGTCTTCCCCCCAGTGCGTATGTCGGAAGCTTCCGGAACTCATCTCGTCTCTACTTTTCTGATGGAGTCGCGAGGGCTCTAATCCGCCCGTACTGGGAAGTTTGGACGGAACCGTGAACGGAAGTTCATACTGGGAGAGCAATCTTGGAGCTCCAAATATAGTGGTAAATAAGTTGCGGAAACTTGCGCGAGTCTAGCTGTGTTCATTGTTGAGTAACTTTCACGGCGAACGCCTAATCGGGCTTCCGTCGCACGCACCGGTGCGCACTGACCCCAGAAAGACGTCTAGGGCTTCCGTTCCCAAGAGAGTAGGAGGCGGCGGAGGCGAAATTCTGGCTCCAGCTGGATCACCACCACCGCCGCCGCTTGAAGGGCTGCTCCAAGACTCTTTGAAGGGTATTTCGCTCTGTCGCTCGTCCGTCTGTCCGTCCGTCTGACTGACTGGCAGACTTGTTGCTCGGTTGTCTTCGATTCGCCTCGTTGCACCGCGCGTACCGGATGTTGCTTTGGTGCACGAACCTCGGACTATGGGAACTTCAAATCGCGCGAGGGAGTTGCAGCTGGATAGATACAGAGGAATTGACGAACAGACGGGCGGGCGGTCGGGCTGGCGCACGGACAGCGTCGACGATGACGACAACGATCCGTGTTCATATCTACATTTGTGGCGACCACTCGACCGCCTCCGACAACGGTTCATCCATGGAAATTCTAGTGCGCTCAGTTCACGCTCCGTTGACGTATCCTCCTGATTCGAAATATGCGATCCGAGAGAGAAAATCACGCGTAGAGGGACAGAGCTCATGAGACGCAAGGAATATCCATGCTCGGATACAAAGACCTGGTTATGTATAGAAAAATCCCGCTCGGAAGGGTGGGGTTGCCTTCCCCTTCATGAATTGTCGATCATTGTTGAAGGGGAAGGGGGGGGAGTTCACTCTATGGTGATTTGAATGAAACAGCAGATTACGAGTTCGATCTAAATATCGACGGTTGCGGACACGATCGGATATGCGGGGAATTCGCGGCTAATTCTAGATCTCACTCCGCTCTGTAGAATCCGAGGCTGAAATAGAACATACTTTCGATCTGATTTCGAAATTGATACTTCGACTTTTCGGCGAACCCTCCACATGCGCAGGTCGGACAGAGGAGCCGAGTCGGAGGAAGGGAGTACGATACGAGACAATCCCTCCCAAATGCGGAAGGAAGAGATGAACCTCTTGCTATCTCTTGTCGGGGATCCCGATTAAGCTTTGGCATGACATCGAGCTCTCGGGTAAGCCTCTCTTTTGTTTTGTATTCAAAACCGATCTAGTTTTCCGTCCTTATGAATACGTTGCTTTCCCTCTGACCTCCATGAATATTCCAATCGTGAACGTCTCTCACATGGAAATTGGCGCGGCACGGCTCATTACCAAGCCGCCGCCCTTCTCCGTGTTGCTTAGCTGTGAACGGTGGTCGGCTCCTCGCGAAGGACCCTTCGAGTTGACTCCGTTGATGTATTGATTGGTTGGTTTCCATATCATGGGAGCTCACACGCTAGAGCTTTGGCTCAGATCGTGTTCTGGTCCCGAGATCACGCAGATTGCAAGCGGTGGGAGCGATTAATCGCTGCTCACTCGAAGACGATCAGACAGACACTGCCCGGAAATGAATGCTTCTCTCTCTTACAAGGTCTTAGCTTTCTGTTTGCTTCGTAGCTTTTCGGCCGAGCGACGAGGCGGTGCGGTGTTGCTCCGTCGGGATTCATCGCTACAGGATGGAATGGTCACCGCAAAAGCGCTCACAGTCTGCCATCACTTTCATTATTAGATCACAACAAAGACATCGACAACGAGCCATTACTCACGGTCCCCGATCCGCGCGCGATTCAATAGAGGTGACTCCTCTGGAATACCAAACATCTCGTCTGTGTCTCGATATTGTGGCTTTCGGAGCATCCGAATGCAAATTCAGATGTCCTTTCCGTCTCGCGGAAATGTTCCGTGTCTTCCCTCATGGAATGCTGATACGTGAAGATAACTTTTTCGTTGTGGACTGAACCTGACTTCATCCGGGACGCTGCTTTTCAAGCGAAGCAGCCTGCGCCCAAATTACGTTTTGAATGCCTACTTCATGTCGGGCGCAAATCGAGCAGGATTTTCGCCAGAGGACGCATGAGGTACAAACATCTTACTGTCGCCCGCTCAAGGCACCGAGTCGACTCGAATCCTGATGATTACCGCCTCATAAAACTTCGTGATCGACCAACCAGGGTTTCGGGTTCAGAGGAAGGTCTCGGAAGTTGGGATGGAAAAGGAACTCCCAAGAGTGAATCGTCAGCAGAAAGGAAACCTAGGCTTTTGGGAGTGATCACTGATCATAGCTCTCCGGAAAGCAGTAGGCTGACTTCAGCAACAGTTCTCGCTGCATCCAGCCCGTGTTCGTGTCCCGGCCAGCTCCCCCTTCACTGGGTGCGTAGCCTGAGGAGTGCTTCAAGTCTCCAGAGAGTCTTTAAGATGTCTAGTTCAGAACTCAACGTTCTCCTTGAGCCTGCTGCTTCGATCACGCTCGGTCATCCGGTTAAGAAAAAAAAATAGATTGTCCTCTGTGCGGACCGATCTCTCGCGCCTCTCGGGTCCCTCTCATTCGCGAAAGCCTCCTCTGAACGGACTCCGCACAACAATCTGCATCGGATAATTCCTAAGCTAAGAATAGAGTTATTGCGCCCATAGACGCATGGAACCCCGGCTCCACCAAAATCTTCCTCTCCGCTCCCCCACACCTCTGCTTCGTCTTCGGGAAGCATGAGTTCGAATTATGGACATTTCCAGGCAGGGCCGAGCAGAAAGCAAGCCTCCGGAACGAAAGGGAGAGCAGATCCGCAACGGAACGAGTCCTTGTCAGTTCCACCGAAAATCGAAGCGCTTTAATTTTCGGAGAACGGCGTGCCTCGTACAGCATTGACGTCGATTCGGTATTATACGAGAGGTTTCTACGACCCAGGCTTGCGTCACAAGTCACCAGCGCCAGAAATAGCTCAAGACGCCAGTGACGTTTCACCTTCGGTAGCGGCTATCCTGTCGCCGTCAACTTGAATGATCGATTCAATGTCATCATTCATCCATTTCTGTGTTCGTTCCGAAGAATGAAAACGAATAATCCCCGGGCGAGACAGCCGAAGGCAGCTCAAAGCGAAAATAATTGAGAAGAACCTCATTCGCATGGAGTTTAGGCAGACCGTTTCTGGAAACTATGCTGGGTGTTAAAACGAATGCACTTGTTGTTGTTGGCTGTGACCCCACCCCACGACGGTTCCCTTCCCCTCTCGGAAAGAAGAGAGCCACACAAGGACCGCCTACGGACGCACGCCTCGGACCAGACCTTCGCTCGAACGGCTTTCTCAGTTTACGATAGACTGTGCGACGCGAAGTTGCTGCTGTTCGTGCTGCGTTAAAAGAAATCGCTCGTTGCTCCACCGGAAATCCGCGCGTCTCTCTTCGAATCCCAGGATAACAGACTCAGTGCGTGAGGACATTGATGCATGAATACGCCGCCGTCAAATCAGAGCGTTTGACACCCGAGGAAACTGTTCACACCGGTGCCCGTAATTTATCGCCCTCTCGTCGGGGGCCGATGATGCCACCAGGCTATCCTGCCAACTTGAGCTTCATGTTGGGTCTGCGCTCCGGTCCCCTCGGACCCCTCGGTCACCTCAGTTCGACACCGAGCCCGGCGAACTCGGCGCCACCGGGTCCCGGAGCGTTCAGCTCCGCGCAGCTCAAGCACATGGAGATGATGATGTCCAGCAATCGGAACTACTCGGATTACATGCGTTCCCTTGCCGCCAAGTACAACACAAACACCAACGAGAGGTGAGAGGGGTTCGCTTTTGGGACGATCGTGTTGGGATCGACCGAAGGTCGCGAGCACCGCGATTTCGGTGAATCATCGGGTCTCTGACGGCTTCTTCCAAAGATGTTTGTCTGTGGATATACTTCGCCTCAGCCGCAAGCGAGCCACTTCGATTCTTGCTGTTGACTGAGGTCTTGAAATTCCGGCTTCGGCACAAACATTGTCCTCGTCAATCTGCGGTCCCTGATCTTGGCTCGGCTTGACAGTCACGATCTGACTTTCCAATGAGTCCTTCAGGTGTCAAGTGGAAAGCAGTTGAGACAGTTTTTTTTCTGGGGGTCTAAGGTTAGCATCAATATTAGAGGTATGCGCGGAAGGGCGCACCTCGATTTTGGTCACGGCTTGTCTCGCGGACTGGCTGGCTGCTTCTAGCACGGGCCAACGTTCGGTCGGAGCGACCGACGCGACGGTAGAATGGAGTAAATGAGTGAAGGAGTGAGTGAGTGACTGACTGACGTCGTTCATATGTTACGCACCTGGGAGCCAATTGATTGCTCGTACGCACCTATGTCAGCCGTCTACCTATCGGGGAGTGGTCCATTTAGTTTGCAGCTCTGCCGTATATTAAAATCCTTGTTAGCTCATAATTTGAATTGCTGAGCCCTTCGAGCACCATCTGGTCGCCTCACTTCTCTACCTCGATGGCTGGCTGCTGAAGTCGTCCGTTCTTCCGCCCGCTCAGACGGCTGCCGATGCATCTCGAATCGCTACCGCTCCTCGATTATTGTCTCCAAGTATCCGAAGTTGGCGTCGTAATCCCGTCGGTCCGATTCGACCGGGATTTCTCGAATCCGAGCTTCGAGTGTCACAATGGGACTGAGCAAAAACGTGGGGCCAACGAAGCCCGTTCCACTTGAAGTATTTCTTGAGCAGCCATCAGAGTCACTCAGTCGAATAGTTCCACGGACTCTCGAACAGGCCTCCCGGTACACGGCCGCCCCCGCTCGAGCTACCGTAAAACCTCTACTTTATAGTTTTCGCAGAGAATTCACATCGTTCGACTTGACTGACCGGCGGCAGGAGACACAAATGCTCTTCAGCTTGGACTCATTGGACTTCACTAGTCCGCTCGAATACGCTATTTGCCTCCGTACCGGATCGAGGGAGGGGGCTGGCGGTGGTCGTTGGAGATTTTCCAGAGGGAGAGGGGACGATTCCCCCGGACGAATCGATCTTGGCCGATGAGATGGTCGAAAAGTGACCTCGGATGGAGAACGAACGTTGAACACTTTCCTGAACCCCAATATGTTTGTTGTTTCCGTCAGAGAGTGGGGCCTCAGTTTTTCTTCTGTGTCTTCCCTGCTGGTTGTTCAACTAATAGCCGAATACCAGTAGCTGATCGTGAGTTGGGGTCGCGACCCGAAAGGTCAGCCGTAGATCATAGAAGTCAAGCTGACTTCTCGGTTCGTCCGCCGCGCTGTCAGTTGTCTCGAGTGATGTTATTTTTCTCGTGGTCACAGGCTTGAATCCATACACTAGACTTTGTGACCTCTGGCATTCATCTTGAAGAGTCGAATTTCTGCTGGCTGGCCAACCGACCAGTCGGTCGCTCGGCTGGCGGATCCGCCACTCGCTCGTCCCTCTGCAGACCGCCTTCGCTCGATAAGCTGAAAATCAGATCTTCAAAATCAGACGGGTTGAGCCTATTCTCACTCAAGTTCCCCTAGCGATCGTTGTCGCTGTTCCCGCAGTCATCAGTGATGTTGAAAGCTTCCGACAAGAGGTATCTCGCTCTCTTCCAGAAGTTTATTTCTGGTAGTGTTCCTTTTTTCGCTTGGGTCGCCGTTGCCGCCGGAGCATTCGCTGCAGCCTTCAAGAAGATCACACGAGAGTCACATCACATCTATTACGACTGACCGGCAGAGGTCCGGGTCAGGGTGAACGTTCCGACTCGTTTAGAAGATGCCCGGAACGAACAGACCTCCGCGGGAGAGTTGGCGGCAGTGAACACATCGAATTTAGATCGATATCGAACTTTCGACAGAGTTTAAGCCGAGCTTGGGCTGATTTCACGCGTTAATCTAATCGGATCTTTCTCTTTACAGCTACCCTTCGAACTCACCCTTCGGACATCCGACTCCATCGGTGCGGCCCCCTCTGCTTCGTAGTCCTGAATGCCCTCCGTCACCGGCTCTCAGAACGGTCCAAGCGCCGCATCAGTCCCCGCGCGCCGCTACCGAGAGCCATCCTTCCCCGCGGCGAAGTCCACCTTCTTCGATCAGTTTGGGCGATTTCTCCTCTTCTCAAACTCTGCTCAACCTCGCGCGGAGTTCTCAGCTCGAGACGTATCTGAAAGGAGCGGTGAAGCGATCCGCGTCCTCTGCTCAAGAAGGTTGGTCTCGCCTAGGATTTCCGAATCCTCGGGATTTTCGGGAGTCGATTGATCCCACTCCCTACCGATCAATCAATCGATTGAATCCACTCGCCACATTCAGCAGATTCCTGACGATCCCTTATATCGATAATTCCAGCGCTCGACTTGTCGCTTTCGGCACCACCCGTGAAACGAACCCGATCTCCATCCCTTTCGCCTCCCTCATCTACGAAAGATCATCAAACCTTTTTCCCCGAGTCCCGCTCTCGTTCAAGATCACCTCGATGCTCATCGGTCGGTTGTCCGAACCGAGAACATCAAGACAGATTATTCTCGAGATGGACCGTGGACGATGTCGTCGGTTTCGTGCAGTCCATCGACGTTTGCGCACCCTACGCAGAGGTAAGCCGCGACCGAGAGAGATCATAGAAAAATACTGCACGTTAATGAATCCTCCGTCGTCCTGGGAGCGAAAATTTCAGTAGCTAACGCCTTCGTCCATTTCTCTCCAGAAATTCCGGGACCAATCCATCGATGGAAGCATTCTCTCTGTTCTGACCGAAGATCATTTGACGGCGTACATGGGTATGAGGCTCGGACACGCCCTGAAGCTCCGCCAAGGTCTCGCTAACATGACCGGGCACTGCAGCGTCTGCCTGCACTGCCTACACTGCCGCAGCTCGACGAAATCGCCTCCGCTTTCGACGACGCGAGCCTCGTCCACCAGTCCGTCTCCACGGAGTTCTCCAGTTGCCTCCCCGAAGAATCTCGAGACATCGGGCCAACCTACTCCGGTTTCTTCATCGCCGTCACCGCCACCGTCTCAAAGTTCGGGTTTGGCCGACAGCGCGACGCTCAACTGAAAATTTTACCGCCAAGCGGAAGAAACGCCTGTCGGCCGATCTCGGACGACCATCAAGCCCTGTATTGATTCCCGGAGGACTCGTTCGACATGACGTTTTGGCACCATGTCCTATTCTCGGGGATAAGGAAGAACTCTACGCACAAGAACTTACAGAAATTACGGACCTTACTGCCAACAGCCCAATGCTCGTTAAGGCATCTTGTTCGACAAGGTCACACTCATTTATGCTATTTCAAATATAGAAACATCTAGTCCATATCGTCCGCTGTGCTCTGTAGTGAATTCTCGAGTAGACAGGACAGCGGCCGTTTAGTTTTCAAGTACCGCAAAATAGAACTCCATGATACATGCTCCGGATTTCCGATACCACATAAATTCGAATACTGCTCGGAGATATTTCTGTGCCCGAAGCGCTCCTCCGATGCGGCCAGTTACGGCTAATAAGAGGACCCTATTAAGCACTATCAGGAAGTCCACCGGAAACCATTTCGAAAGCCCTAACTTATATCAGAGTCGGAAAGATACAGCATAATAATAAATGATCCCTTTTGGAAGATTCAAGAATGTTCTTTTGGTAACTTATGTTCAACAAACCCTTTATTCGATTCCGTGGTATGGGAGCGTTCGGCAACATCCGATGTCATAGCAGCTCCGCCGGTGAGAAGCTTCTCGTTCGATCTCCGGAGTCCAGAGTCGACGCAGGGCGCTCCACCGAAAGATACGGTCTGTTCTCCTGGTGTTATCCTTTGTGACCATGAGACGATATCTTAATCGCTGTGGGCCATTGTTCCTTGTAACTCACTGTGCGACCAGAATCTCGATCAAGAGAAGTGGTTCAGGGCGAGGGGAAAGGATAAATAACCATTCGGGCGTGATGAGTTCCCTGATCCGCAGAACCTATGTGGGACACATGAGCACGAGAATCCCCATAGAGCTCGGGTCCGTTAGCTCGCCGATTTCCCTTCTATGACCGGAACATGGCGGATCCAACATTGACAACTCTGGCGACGTGTCTTATAGTCAGGGAAACCCGGGTTTTTCGAGGGAGACATGTTGGCCCATCTCCGGAAGGCTCCGCGGCGTAAACAGTAGGATCAAGCGAGTCTTCTTTAAGTTCTTCAATGCCGTGCAGGTAATCTGAATACGCTTCATCTTTCGTTATCAGGAGGGATCGCGGCTTGAGCAAGATCTTCCCGACAACGGAGCGGTCTTCTCGCCGCGATATCACCAGTACCGTATGGGATCCCAAGGAGACATTGGCCACGATCGGAGTGTAGAGTGGTCCGTCCGTGTGAGGGAGTATACCCTGACCCGGCTGATATTCGTTCACCAGAACGTGGTTGGGTCGACAGCCCTCGAAAAGCCCCGTCGTGTCCACCACCTGAAGAACGAATGCGTCACAGAATTTCTCACATCGAGGGCTAGATCAGGTTTATGTATGGACATCCCTGATTGTCGACCGCTATACCTTGTCGATGATCGTGTCGAGCCAATGCGGCATCTTCTCAGAACATAAGAGCGCCTTATCTTTGTGCGGGACCCCTCCCCAATTCTGTAATCTGCGATTCCTCAAATCAGTCCATTTAGGCTTCGGCGCGGCGTAGACCCTGCTCAAGAGATACTCTTCCTCTCCTTCCGAGATGAAGTTGTCGTGAAGGTAGAATGTGCGGGGAAGGTTCTCAATCGCTTCTAAATTCAACCGGGGTGCCATAACCGGGGAGGTCCGAATCTCGAAGACACTGAAGGCATAGTAATTCACAAGTTGATGACTTTGTACATGTATGTTAGAATTGAAGGAAGAATATTCTGAACTACGGAACACATAAGTATTGACGAAGGAACACACGGACAGAGCTCTGGAACCTCGAAAGAAAGCACAACTCACACGACGGCCAAGAACTGATTTCTGAAACTTTACGCTTCGAGACGGTGCACGAGTGGTCTTTGTCGCTCGGAGACCTTGAGATATCCACTGTGTGAACTATGTCCGATTTCTTCTCCCGAATTACTAGCCAAGTGAAAAGAATCCCCGAGTCCATCAGCTGTCGGCTGTCGCAGCTGAGCGGGGTTGCCGCGAGCGAATTCGAAAATGCGCGGGAAAACATGAGCTACTCCGGGCGACGTCTATCGACACCGTCCGAGCGCAATAAAAGCCTTGCGACTTAAGGAAAGTCATCAGTATTCTGAGGAGAGGGAACCCGCACGTCGCTGGGTTCCACATCGGTCGCCTCGCATGTCTGGCCTTTGTATTCTCACTACGAACGCTGCGATCCTAGCAGAAGCGCCCGTAGAGTCTATGACAGAAAGTTGAATAGTCAGCGACGAACTTCCCGCTAGCTGTTACGTGAATTCTCCTGGAATAAGTTACCGCCTTTCCATTTTTCCTTCCCGACATCGAGGGAACTCTTCGCCGCATATCTGCTCCAAAGGTTTTGATCTGCAGCGGGTCTCCCGGAGTTTTTTTTGTTTTTTGATCCTGCACCGCTCTCTCACCGGATACGTACAAGGCACGGTAAATGTTTCAAACCTCACGCAAGTTAAAGTCTGTTGGGAGCGAAATTCACCATAGTCGACGGTCTCAGCGACTAACTGCGCCCACGCCCCTAATTTGAGGCTATTCTTCATTCCATCGAGGCATGATGAGAGATGGAAGCGTCAGGAGTCTGGATCGAGAAAATCCTCTGCCGTCGTGGCTCCTGGAGAAACTCCAAACCGTAGGGGGCCACTCCTTCAGCCGCGCAGCGGTCGAGGAGGTGGCATCCTGGGAGCAGTACTTGACGGGAGGTCTCGGTTTCGAAGGATCAAACACTGGTCGATGAGTGCTCCTCAGAGACCCCATTGGAAAGGTCGCTCTCGGTGATCTCAGGCAGATTCTTTAGTGACAGACCGTTCGACAGTTCTCCTATGAAAGATTCCCGAAAGCCCGGCTGACACATGTCGAATGAAATTCCGCAAAAGCGCATCTGCGGGGCATCGATTTACCGAAGCGTCAAGCAGCGGCAGCAGACAACTGTTGCATATTGCGCGCGAGCCGAGGAGCGAGCGGAGACCATGGGGTCATATGGAGCGAGCAGGTTCGAAAGTGAGCGGTTCCCCGAGTCGCGCATGCGCTCAGGAGGTTGGGCGAATGTTTCGAGTTCCCCTTTTTGAATAACAGGTATAGCCGTGAGCAGATCCGCTCGTCAGGGAAGCTCTTTGTTGACAGGCCCTAATCTGGAGGACGAATCATGCACACCGCGGCAGAGTCATCGTAGAAGTTCGCAGATCCCGCTTCCATGCTTGCGCAGGTCGACGAAAGCTGTGCCCTCGCTGGGGGCCAGGACGACCGATCGTCGTCTCCGGTGAGTTCTTCCGAGAAATTTTGCGCTCTTGACACACTCCAATGGGCTCCTTGATTCCTCATTTCACAAAAACCTCGGCGAATAGAATCGGTCAACGGTCTGGGTCGAACTTCCTTCGAGCGCATCTTAAGATCCGCTGGAATTTCCCGCGACCCTCAACATCAGATTCGATTGCGCGGACGTTATCAGGGAATCGAATCTGCCTCCGGCTTGATTCTGAGTTTGATTTGTGGCTTCCAGCAACCCGGGCCGTCGGAGTCCTCATCGCGATCCCGAAGGTTTGTCACACAACAGTAACTCATCGGATATGCAGATATCAACGGCCGAGGATTAGGTGCGATAAACTCTCTCCTTAATTTGATATGTGAACTCATTGCGTGGGCACCTTCGTCAATCAGCGGACGCAAAGTGTTTCGAGAGTCTTTCCATACAATGACTACCATCGAGGATAACTCCGATCCGGGAACAGACACCGACTCAGATTCATCGCAGGATGTCCCGGATAGCAGCACCTGTACTAAAAATAGTCGTCCGAAAAAGCTTAAGGTAGCCTGATAGACCCGGGGGATGAGATGGCTGGGCATGAGAAGGCTCCGAGCACGAAACTCCCTCCCCAGAACCCAGAACTTGACAGAGTCGTGTTCCAGAAAGCTTCGGAACTACTCGACGAGAGCAGCCTGAGAGAGAGCACCGATGACGAAGTATTAGCCGACATGGTCATCGCCCTTCAGGTTTGTCCTCGAGGATCGTGCTCGCTCCGTATCGATGCTCCGGGGAGCCGACGAGATTAGCGCGTAGCGCATTCATAGGGATTTCTCCGCAATCAACAGGTGAAATTGCATTCCGCACGGAGCGATCTTGTCTTCGTGCAAGGCAAGCAGAAAATGCTACTTCGGAGTCTTCATTCTGAGGTTCGTAGATGTGACGACCCCGATGATCGGACCATGGATCGATTGATTGCGGAAATCTGTGGAGGAGTTCGACAGAGGAAATGTCGTGGGTTTTTCGACGGGCTCGCTCATGGTCGCGATATCGGAAAATGTCGGGGGAATATGAGGAATCACACTCGCTCAGACGTAAGCCGCATGCGTTCCTCCACGATTTTGCAGATGGAGAAACTCCAGAGGACTGTACGGGAGTTGCAATTCGCGATCGTGACCAAGGGTTTGAGTTACATAGACGAAGATACCTACAAGGCGCGTGTGGCCCAACTCGAAGCCAGAATCGCAGACTGGTCGATGAGGTGATCTTTTTATTCGGATTGGCGCCATACTTGTGTATTCGGCTAGTTCTCGGGCCGCACGCCCTCGGATTTAGATCCATGTAAAAAAGACAGCGGTTTCGGGTGATGTGTCTGAATATGTTTTTTCTTCTTTTCTTTTAGATGTAACTACCTAAACGCGCAGTTGAACGTCGCTAACGACTCTCTCGTGGAACTGAACGAGAGAGTTCAATTACAGGAGTTCGAACACGAGGACATTGTACGGCAGAGGGACGAGATAATCGCCGTCTTAAAAGTATTTATCGTTACGGCGACAACGAACCTGCCATGCCGTTTCCATCCCGACTGAACCCGTGCTGAGAGGTGATTCTATTTTCTCTATCCGCAGCGTCAATTGGAGATGAAGAGCATCGAGGTCGAAGTTCTTCGTCAGATAACGGCTTCTGTGAGTCCAATCGACGAAACCCATCCCCCGTTGAAGAGGGCCCACTCAGACGTGAGCAGGTAGTGATGATCTAAGCTTCAGAGGGTCTTGAGCTATGAAACCTCAATCCTCGTCTCACACGCATTTTCCCCAAGGAGTGCCACGGATGCTTGCCGAATTCTGCCACCTCAGCCCAGCACCCCGCAGCACCGAAGGAGGAAGGTAAGCCGGAACCAGGAGACTCCGGAATATTGGGGAAAATTTAACCGCTCGGCTCTCGAACACTCCCCTGACGTACAGCGACTTCGGCAGGTTCTTCGAATGCCGGGTCTGGTTTCGAGGATGTTATCACCCCACAGGAGGAAGCAACGACCGTCCTCGAACGGCTCTGTCTCTATATCGTCACCTCAACTATCCCCAAGTCGGACCTGCTTATCTTCCTGGGGAACTCCTTCTGAGAAGGGAGGAGACTGAATCGATCGTTTCAGATGAGTCTAGAGAAGACAGGGGCTTTATTTGGAAGCATGGACCATCATGTCTGTTGTTCGACGATAGATTCGGATCCGCGCAAGTGTGAAGGAGGGAAAGATTCGCGGCAGAAGAATGAAAGTTCGGAGTTTCCCGAGGGACTCGGAAGTCCGATGCCAGTACAAGCAGTATGATCTTCCTCAACCATATCCACAGGATTGTCAAACACAACCGAAACTCCATTTCCATAATATCCCTGGAAACCCATCTCTTACAATACAATATTTAATTGACCGACCCGAGGTTTGAGACGGACTGTCTGTGAGTGCGCTCCGTCAGCGGTGATATTATTTCGACTTCGACGGTCCAGGGAAAGCATGGACTCGGGAGCCCTGCGACTGTCCTTATGCAATTTTCAAAGAATGTATTGAGAGCACCTTCTGGATTCACCGATCGACCCTGTCGAGCGAGGCTGGCGCTGGGATTAGAGCGGACCCTTCGCGCTTGCCGACAGCAGCTCCACTGGATCTATCTCCCCTCGTCCCCGGGAGCACGAGATCCACGCCGATGTCTCCGCCTTGGACGTCGGGCCCTCAGGGTTACACGAGCGATGAGGACCGCATCATGCGTTGTGACTTTCAACAAGCTAGTTCAAAGGGAGCGTCTGCCACGCTAGGTTCCACCGGTTTAGAGAGCGAAAGCATAATGAGCGTTCGGAATAAAAATTGACACGGAGATCGTGGACGATTCCTCGTCGGAGACTAGCCAGATGAAGAGGTGGAGATCGGAAATACAGGGAGTCTCCCCGGGAACTTCTTTTGGCATCGTACTCCGCACCCCGAGTGCGATGCTCACCATCATGAGAATTCTGAGTAGGCGCCTGATTCGACGTACCGTATTTTCTCTAATACTCGGGCACCCTAAGTCCGACTCGGATGCACCGGCGAATCCTTCCACACGGAGGTAGGCTAAGCGGTCAGCTCGCATTCCGGAGTTTCGTCATCTGCCTCAGGAACGAGCGATCGACTATTGCGCGAGCTCATACTGGACATATTTGCCGGGGCATCAGGGTTGATGGTCGACGTGCCCCGCTACTAGAGATAGGAGTGGTCATTCGACCTGATCTTCCTGAAGGCCCACACTCTACTGAATAAACGCTGTTGTTCAATGCAAACTTCTTAAAGATGGCTCCGTTCAGTTCAGCAGGAAAAAAGAAGCATAGGATCCTAGTGCTCGGTCTTTTGGATGTGGAGGGTCTGAAGTGTGGGTTTCGTCCCGCACTACGGGTGGTGCTAGTCTGCCACCTTCCCTCAAGCAGCATTGCGACTATCGATGGAGTAGGTAATCTTGGGTTGATGCTTCGGCTTTGCCTGAGGAGCTCAGATCCCAGGGTATGAGTTTCCCAGATCGACTCGAGAGTCACCAGAGGGCGTTGGCTACACGATGCCACAGGAACAAGGTTCGTCGGGGAAGAATCAGATAACGCTTAGTTGAATAAAGATGCGTTGACTTGAAAAATATTTCGATATATTAATGCGACACAGCTCTTTAGAGCGCGGGAGCTCTTGCTCACATTGAGCTCGGTCTCAGTATCGCACGGGTTCATTTGCGTCATGCGATCTCACGTCAGTAGACGTACCTAATCACTCGGACTATTACACATGTTAGATGAGTAAAGTGTCACAATGTATGCTGTCAGCCGTCCCTTCTGTCAGTATCTACAGTTCTCGAAACAGTAGCTTCCGAAAATATAGATTATGTCCATCATTTCAGATTATATACAGATTGAACAAGCACACACGGAGCGTTGGTGCACGTGTATGTCGATTGCTGAGATACATAAAACACCAAAATGCTTATCCACCTATCTAGATGAGTATAATCTTTTCCGAAACGTCAGGATTGACTCGCAACCGCCAGCTGCGATCACATTGATAACAACACCGATTTGCGCCTATGTACAAAGTTGATTACACGCTCTAAACAGAATCTTTCAAACGAACATTCTAACGTCCGTGACTCTCGTATGGAGAATCTCGAGTTTCATCCTCGATTTTGAAGCTCTCGAAACAGCGTGAGAGACGATCCGACAGATCAAGCATATCGAGGGAGCACTCCGAAGGGGCGATCGGGCTCTATCGTGAAAACTCGGCCATACCTCCCTGTCTTGGCTAGGGCGCGGGAAGCGCATGCGTCTCGACACCGCTCTCTGAACAGGGTCCGGAATCTCGCACCGCGCTCAAAAGAAAAATGAATATACGATCAAAACGTCTAACAATGCCATCCTAATGCCCGGATCCATGCGACTGAGTGAGCGAAAGATAGGAGAAAAGAATAGAGAAAAAAATCGGAGCATCAACAGCATGGAATGTGCGTGCGGAAACCGAACAAAAGCGGCCGAAAATGATTTCAAGCCTCTAAAAACGGAGCTCGTCTCCGAAATTTTCGTCGGGAAGCAGATAACATGTTCAGCAATCCATTGACTCCACGCTAACTTAACGAATGCTGTTCGCCTTCTGTATATTCGTCCACAAGCTTCTTGGGATAGAGCCGAGAAGCCTGCCGACTCGTGCATTGCACAAAGGTTTCAGGAGTTGCCTTCGCGAGATATACCCCGTTGAGAGGGCTCGACTATTAAACACTTATCTGTTATATATGTGTGATTTAGGGAACAAGTAATTTTGCCTAAGTTTCGCGAAATGGCACTGGAGTTCCCGTTTTCGAAACGCCACATCACAATGCTAAAGCTGAATCGCCTCAATAACAACGATCATCTTCTTTGGTAAAGTTCAGAACATCGGCGGTCCTGTTGAGCCCTGCTGCATCGCTTGGAGCGACGAGTTCTGTTGGTTTTGGGATCGCTCGACGAAACTGTCGGGGTTAATGATCCGAATCAACTCGTTCTCGGGCAACATGGACATGGACTGCAGCTGACATTCCATCTGTTGATTTAACACCTGCGGAGAATAGATCGATTGGCCTCTCTGCCTTCTCTACTGCATTTGATGAGACAATGGGACGTATTCGATCTCTCGTAGAACGACGTAATCAATTTGCACATTTGTCGAGCACGATGATATCGAGCATGGGAGAAATAAGCACGGGACTGTCGAGTCCCGGACGTACCTGCTGCTGTTGATTTTGCGCAATGATTTTCGGAGCCACGTGGTTCTGCTGGATGCTTGCCTGGATCGCCTGGTTCATGGCGCCGTTTGTTTGAGATTTCTCGAGACCCATCGAAGTGTCCATGTTCATATGGCCTCGGTCCTTATGCTGTTGGGACATTTGATCGACGACCTGCTGAGCGAAGCCGGGAACAGCGCTCGGCGACTGAGAGCTCACCGTCCGTGGGAAAGAGATTCCATTGGAGGCGAGAAGTTGGTTGGCCAAAGCGACATTGCTGACTGACTGCGACTCCGCAGTCGGATTTGTCGGCACGACGAAATGTTGAAGGTCCATCTTCTGACTCGGAGTCAGATTCAACGGTGGAGGAGTCATGTTGGTGAATGCGTGCTGACCGAAGGCTGCGCTTTCAGCCAAACCGTTTTGGTGAGCTGGAAGGGTGTTCTGCTGCGACGTGTTGCGTGTGCTCTGCTGTTGCTGCTGCTGCTGCATTCCAAAATTTTGGCTCGTGGAATGGCTCTCGAGAAGATTGGCGCCGTTAAGTACGGGTTGAGCCATGCCCCCCATTTGATTCGAGGGCGAAACACCCTCCAACTGACTGATTTGGTTCGGAGAAGCTGCGATCGATTGCGGCGAAGCGACCATCTGAGCGGCCTGAACAGGAGACGTCACCTGCACGGATTGCGTGACCATTTGTCCTGCGCAAGGCACGCTCTGTGTTATGAGTTCCCCCGAGGACGTTATCATGGTCTGAGTCGACGTAATCGGAGCGACCTGCTGAACGAATTGCTGGTTCGCGGTGGACGTTGCAGAAAGCGCGCCATTCGGCGAATCTACGTTCATTGGGACTTCGGCGTTCGATGCAGCGCACTGGCAATCCATTGGCGTGACGGTTGACGTGCCGAATTGATTGTTGACCGCGGCTGCGACCGCGATTCGACTGAAGACATTATCGAACGAGTTCTGTTGAGATGTAGCTTGCTGATTGACTTGGGTCTGGGTCGTCTGTTGCGTCGACTGCGGTGTCATCGCCAGCGAAGACTCTCCGGGGGACGAGGCCAGACCGTTGCTCGGGGCAAACGGGGAGCTCTGCGGTTGGACATTTTGGAAGCTCCCGTTTCCCAGCGAGCTATTCGAGAACTGACTGTGGGGCGAACTGGACGTGTCCTGCGGCGAAAACGCCGAGCCGACTGGCGCCTTATTTTGAGCGGATGCGACTGGCGTCGAGGGCATCCGCGCGAACTGCGGGAACTGGGTCTGCATCGGTGAGTTCCCGATTTGACTCTGTTGACCGAAGCTTTGGTCAGTACTGAAGCACGAGCCCTCAGGTGAGCTCTGGCTTTGAGCCATGACAGGTGCAAAAGACTGCTGGGGCTGCTGCATGATGGAGTTGCCGAAAACTCCGTTCGGCTGGAACGACTCCATGAAACCATCTCGCATCTCGGTTTGATTTAATTGCGACTGAGCCGCTGGTGCCACTTCGGCCGGCGAGAGATTCGTTTGATGAGGAACGGGAGATGAACGCATCATTTGATTGCTTTGATCTGAAGCCATTTGTTGCGATTGCTGTTGTTGTTGTTGCTGCTGCTGCTGTTGTTGTTGCTGCTGCTGTTGCTGCTGCGGTGTTTGCGATGGCGCTTGCTGTGTGTGTTCGCCATCTGTTTCTGAGAGGAAGACTTTCTGCTTCTTCATCAGAACGTCGTCAGTGGCATCTTCCATGTTCTGGGCACTTGCGGCCAACGAAGTAGCGATATGCTGTATGGCGGCTTGGTCGGTCGCAGACATCGGCTGTTTCGTGTCAGCCCAGACGACCTTGAAAGAGGCGGGAACACATTCACTCCACAGTCGGGTTGGGGATGTTGACAAGATGGGTATGATCGAGAATTTCCCTCTTACCTGGACATCTGCGTTGTTCTGAGTTTGTTGCCCGTTCCAGTTCGAGGCGGGATTCGGGGGAGACATGGTGTTCTGTGTTGGTTTTTGAGGCACTCCGGTCTGCAGAGGGCTGGTGGTTGTGAGCATCTGGTCCTCTAACACAGTGACTACTGGCTCCGGCAAGAATTCCGGAATTCTCTTGTCTGTAAATAGAATGGTGTCAGATTTCGCAAGACGCAGCGCTCAAATGTCCGAGCACAGGGGACGGAGGAGGCAGGTTTCCGAGGACGCGTTCCCACCTGGTGGCTTGAGATCATGGTCGGAGATTTTTCGTTTGATTCCATTGTCGGATCCGATTAGGGTTTCCGCGGAATTCTGATTGAAGTTCTCGAAACTCTTGCCGGCTTGATCCTGGTTCTGCGAGGCTTGGGGGGCGGCCGCATTCACAGGATTTTGAACAGCTGCATGACCGGTCGTATTGCTTGCAATCAGGTTCAGGACCGCCTGGGCTTGGCTGGCTGTGGGAACCACGACGAATTGTATCGTCGGTTGCGAGCTGGGGGCCGAGGCGGCCGGTGAGACCGACGTGGACGTGGAGGCTCCTGAGAGAACGGGAATCTGGAGTATCGCTGAAGAAGCTTGAGGTGTCTTGGGCAACAGCGTCGTTGCGGTTGGATTCGATGGCGCATCTGGAAGGAAGCGACTTCAGTCTTCGGTTGCCCCACGGATATGCACGACAATGAGCCTAAGACATGAATATGCTCGATTAGCTCCAGAGCCCACGGCAGATGGGTGAGATCTATGGAGTCAATGAGCTTCACAATATGTTCGCTCACCGAAATTCTCTGCTTTACCGTTGTTTTGACCATTCGGAGGAGTGGGCGAGTGCTGTTGCGGTTGAATTTTGATAATTTGAGCTTTTTCGGCTTGTCGAGGCAAATAGACGAACGTGGATGGGTCCGAGAATCGGCCTCCGCTGGCGACCACGAGTTCCACCTCTACGGGTTGAGTGATATTTCTATCCATGTAGGGAGGCACTTGGCAAATCAGATGCGTCTGAGGACACCGAATCGAATATATGGATCAGCACGTTGCATCGATCAGTCGGAACGGAATTTGGAAAAATTCGCCACCATGCAGAACTCACGGTTTGAAGAAACTCCTTCTCTGGTATCACACTATTTTGCCAACAAATGCGACCATCCACAACCTGGAATGATAAGTTATTGAAATCCAACCGAGCTCATTCTGCTTGTCAACGCATTCCTAGGCAATTCCGGAGTATACATGATAGAATAACTGTGGACAATCGCTCTCACCTCACGGAAAATGACTTTTGTATCTTTCAAGAAGTTCTTCCCGATGATGAAGAGCTCGGCGTCCGATGGGCCGCAATCGCAAGAGACGGCTGACAATGACTTCTTGCTGACTTCGGGCGCACCCGGTGGTTGGGCTAAAGGAATACGCTCGAGAGTCAGATCGAGGGACATACGGAGAGCACAAACATCCGTCAACTGCCTTCATAGGTACTGCTCGAATTTGACCGCTCCTCGCATACATACATTCGGCAATTCGACATCGAGGACTTACTGCAAAGTATCGGAGCGGAAGCAGTCTGAAGGGTTACTCCGTTCTCTAGGACAAAACGAAATACCAGTCGACACTTCGTGCTCCTCTTCTTGCTGGCGTTGACGTTCTCGGCGAACGCCTGGTTGGACGCACGAGGTCCATATCGGATAAGACGCTTCTCAACGTCTACGTTCCGTTCCTGAGGAATAAGGAAAGATCATTAGAGTTCATCCTTCAGTCAGCACTGCATCTGCTAGCCTTGATGGCTCAGAGAGCCAGCTCACCTTGAGGATCCCCACACAATCCACTGAGATTTCCCGCGCTGAAGGTCCAGCGCTGCCGACCGGTTGCGGCGGGACAACAATTTGTATGGCCGTGGTGCCCTCGATGCGCAACTCCTCACATGGAGTGGAGTTTTTACCGCAGACCTGACAAGTTTCGGGAACGATTGAAACAAACGTTCCGACACGTATGGTCGGAGACAATTGAGCCATATGCCACATGCAACCTACTTTGCTGGCTTGGTAGAACATGTGCGGTATGGGACGGCCTTGATCGGTGCCGATAAAAACGAGCAGTCGACCTCCTTGATCTGCTCCGGTCAACTGGAAAGCGTTCAAAAATCTCTCGGGTCATTCCCGCCGAGGACCGTAAAACCGTGGACTACATAACGAATCTCATCGAAGAATTGCGCTAATCTGATCCAGTAGAATCTCTTGGAACCCAGACTGACCTTGACGGTCGGAAAGGCATTCCCAGTTCTATCTTTCACGGCCCCACGGCTTCCTTCCGTGAGATATCTGAATAAAGAATTCGGAGCTGAAGTCAGGATCGCGTAGCTCGATTTCAAAATACGTCCAACTGACGAGAACTATCTCCTATTGAATCAAACTCCGATCAGGAGAGGTTTCGCTTTATCACCTCGCTCGATGCTGTTCTTCCGGCTGGTGTACGATCTTGAGCTCTAAGCCGCCCTTGAGCTTGTTCGGGTGCACGTTGTAAAGACTGATAGTTTCCTCAGCGGTACTGGACTGCGCCAAATGATAGACAAGCGACGAACGTGACGTTCCACCCGTAGCGCTCTGCGCCTGTTTCGCTGGCGGAACCTTATGCGGTCTCAAGCTGACAGAAGGCGAACTCCGTTGCAACGCAACCTGTCTCTGTCGGTATCCGGCTCCCCCCGCGAGAACCTAGACCAGGACGAGATCATTTCAGCGAACGCCCAACCAATCATCGACGTCCTCTCACCGTGATCGATTTTCGATCGGCTAGCGGTAGGTAGCCGGGCGGTTTTCTGCTCACCTTCCTTCTCGGGACATTACGATTATTGTAGTGGTGTTGTTGAAGAATGAGATTCAGACTGTTCAATCGAGTCTTCTGACTGGTCGCATTGCTAGTGGAAGCCGCTAGCGTACGCACTTCGTCGACGGGAGCAGCGCCGCCGTTCGCTTGCTGCTGCATGAGTGTTCTCAGAGCAGCCTCGAAGGTGAGGTCCCGGTTTCTCACGTTCTCCTCCTCGAGTGGACCCAAACGACGTTCCGAAAGCTCCGAACCCAATGTAGCTTCTTCGTTGTCAACACTCAGCATGGAAACGGTGCCAGCTCCCTGACTCGAAGCTGAGGAAGAGCTCAGCATCAGATACGACGCCAAAGTACACACGAGCGTATGGCAGGGTCGCCGCGTACGAATCCGTCGGCGGATAATAACCGGTGACGCGTCACTAGCACCGAGCATCGGTCCGCTCGGAGGAGTTGGAGGAGTTCGGCCGCGTGCACTCATTCTAATCACTCACTCACCTGTCTGACTTTGTCGAGTGAGGCTCTCGTTACTCGAAGACCTGCTCTCATCGACGTAGCCTGCCGCTGTTGAGTCAGCAATGATGTCAACCTGCAACCAAAATGAAAGTACATTTCAAGCTACACCACAATCAAGCGATCCGATTACTCGGAAGCGATTGACTCTTTTGGGAGCGGTTCAAACGAATTCTGAGTCTTGGAAGCTCGCGGCATATCGTTTAGCATTTTATCAATCGCCTCTCCAGCTTGATGCAAGATCAATGGAAGAGACCCAGACGAACCCGCAGACGTTCGAATCGGATGTACCGACAACAACGGCAACTCATCTGAGCCGTGCCTCTCTTTCCATCTCATCGAGTTTTTCTTCCTCGGCTTCCCCTTCTTGTTCGGAACTTGTTCGAGCAGACGAACGGTCCTCCCTCAAGTTTACCTTTTCCTGGGGGGGCAGGTGGATCTGTTGGTGGAACGTTTTGGCTTTCTGGCTCTCCTCGGTCATCGTCATGTTGAAGAGCTTGAACATCATGGTCGAGGGCTCTTGAGTCTCGTTCGGGCCCACCATGCCATTCGCCCCGTTCACATTCAGCAGGGGTTTCGAGCTATGTGACGGCTCCATGCCTGGCATCGTCGAGGCTGTGTCGTAGGTGTCGTAGTGCTGGTGGAAGACGCGGCCGTTGAGCATCGCCGGGCCATGAACCGTAGACGCTGGAATTTAGGTAAATTCAATGAATCAATGAGTGCTCCGGTCGAGCCGTCGTCCGCCTGGGGTCGGCGCTCTCGTCCGCCCCCCCGCCTTCCCCCATGCTACTCACCATCGCAGCTAGCGTCTATGTGAGGCGTCACGCGGTACGAAGGCGTCGTGGAACTGACCCCACCTCCCTCTTCGCCTGCGGGGCTTACGGATTGCTGATGTCTGTCCATCGTTCCGATAGTTGAGTTTTTCAAAGTCATGGACGTCACGAGCGATTGACTTGACTATCTGGAAGAGAATAGGGCGAAATTCGATTTCAGAAGCGTCGTATCATTCAAAGTCAGATCGACATCTCGCAGATCTGGGATTTTTCGTCGAACGGATCACCTGGATCCTAGTAGTAGACTACTTCTGAGAGTACTAGAGACGTATTGACTCCGCTTCCGCATTCCGAATCGCTCGTAGTAACCAAACGGACCGCTTACTCGTCGCCGTAATAATAACCGCTCGACAGCGAGCCAGTCGAGCAACCCCGTTTCTGGCTGACGTCGATGCTCTTATCCCGGAGACAACGAGCAGCGTTCGTACCTATCAGTCCGACCGAGAGACCGCATGCGCAGGGAATTCAGGGGGGAAAAAAAGTCATTCGTAAATCCACATACGAGTTCGAAGTTTCGGACGCATTAGTGAAGCATTCGCGACTTTCGGCGCTCTCCGAGTATTCCGTGCTTGACACGAACTTCGTGTAAGCCTGCGAGGATTCCGTTTAGCCGTCTATCTATACAACATCGCTTAATCTTCTCTTAGGGTTCTTTGGCCTCTCTCTTCGTTCTTGCGTCACTTGCTCTCACTTTTCAACGAATCTGTGAGAGGAATAGAAACGGGAAGAATGGTCAGCGGGAGGAAGCCGCAGCAGCAGCAGCGGCTTGAGTACGTTCAAGCTCAAGTTCGAACCCTCGTCGCGCGGACCGGCAGAGCCGGAGCTCTGGGAGCGTTCGAACGTCGAAGCGGTCACGAACGAATGCCTAGGTGCCGACGCAATATCGGACCGGCGACAAGCGACCCGAGCGTCTCCCGGCATTGTTCTCAGCGGAGCAAAACTCGAAGATATCGACAAAAAAATTCTCCAGCTGTTCCGCACCCGCATGCTCACACTGACTGGAAGAGCGATCCCTCTCGTGTCCGAGTTGCTGAAATTCGCTCACGGCCGCTCGAGCCGGACCGACTGAAAAGCAGCAGCCTCCAACTGCGAGCCGCCAGTCGACTTTGAGCGGATAGATAGGCAGATGAGCCGATAGGGGATGTTCATGAGCGTTGTGCGTCCGAGTCGTAGAGACGGCCGAGCACATTCCCCTGCTGGTTCGCTAAGTGCAGCTTCCACCGCTACGGTCGTCGTCGTCGCCGCCGTCGCTGCTCCTGCCTTAGTTCTCCCGAGTGAGAGGACCAGCGTATTTGACGCAGCTCTGCCGTAGCTGGTGCTGCTGACTGTCGTTATCAGCCGATAGCAGCGGTGGATAATGGTCGCCGGACGCCGCAACAAGGAAGCAGCGTTCGCATCAACAAGCGACCAGTAGTCAGGAGAAGGTACTCGTCTCTACCCGCAGCGGAGTGCAAAGCCGATGACAAGAAGGCGCGCGCCTTCTGACATCGAACACTGCTGCTCCGGGTGGACAGCACGAGTCTGCCGGCGAATCGGCCGGCCGGCCGGTGAGGATGCCGGTGGTTGTTGTTCTTGTGGTGTTTCTTTCTCTCTATCTATCTACCTATCTATCATCATCTGGCCATCCATCCGCGGCGGTGCCTCTAGAATCACCGCGACGGGTGTTATAACGGCGGTGGCGGCAATGATGCCGACGACGTCAACGAGGACGCTCAACACAAAGCCGTCGGCAGAGTAGCGCCGCAGAGCTTGTCCTCGATCCGTCGATCGCATGACCATGCTCCCGAGAAGTCCATCCTACGGCTGCTGTCATAAGAAGTATTTTTCGAGGACAGAGGCCACCGGAAGTTGAGCCGTGCGATCCGGTTCGAAGACATTTACAGTCCCATCGGTGCGGTAATCTCGCATTCCTTACGACGAATGGTCGTCATATACTCGGCTCTCGTGAATACCTCAAGCGCATTCGAGGGATCGTCAATGTTTTCTAGTCGTAATAAAAACTTAGATGGTCATTCCGAAGGCTACTCGCTCGCTGGCCACCCGCTCGCTCGCTCGGTTGGTCAGTTCGACAGTCCTGCAGTCAGTCAGTCAGTCGGTCGGTCAGTCCCTCAGTTCGTCCATACGGGACCGTCTGTCACATTACTTGCAGTTCTGGCGCGGTTCATCGACCTTCGGTCTCTGTGGTCAACGCGGTAGGCGCCGTTAGTTGTATCTTTTCTTCCGTGATCCCGATGCGAGCGCACGGGGCAGAGAGACCGACGAGCAGTCCCGCAAGGATCCTCTCGGAAAACAGTCGGCGCGGGCGTCGACCCGTTTTTTCCCGAAAGGAATCCACACGAGAAGACCGAAATCAGTCTCGTGCTACGCTCTTCGAGTAAATTCAATGACTCACGTGACTCTCTCGAGACCGTCGCGCTTCCTGCCAGCAGCGTCTCGATGGAGTGGTCTCCCGCAGAAACGAGATGAGAAATTCGGAATTCATTCCAAACGAGCTTCTACTGAACGACTTTTATCAGATTAGCCGTGAACAGATAGAGTGTCGGTGTCATCGTGAACGAATGAAGCCAGACACCAACAACATACGATTATACTCGGAAGGCAAATGCACTCCGGCTCCGGAATTGGGTCAGCGAACTGTCTCTACGGACAAACGAGATAAGACAGCTGTTGAGTCAGACTAAGCTTTGAGGTTCCAAGTGCTGCCCACAATAGGAATTAATATCGAGTCGGGTTCTCGTTTATCGAGCCAAGCATCCGGACTCAGACGCCCTATCTGTCAGCAAAGATAGGTGGACTTTGGTACGCGAGACTCTATTTTTGGCTCCGATACCTGCTCCTTGTTCTCTGAAGGAAACATACCATAGGGGGTAGACGGCCAATCGAGAGGAAGCATGGGACTCCGGGGTCGATGATCGGGTTCAAAAAAGCGCTCCGAAAACTAAGCCCTGCGGAAATGCAGTCGCGACCGACGCGAAGGGGTGCCGAGTACTCGCGAGCTCTGAATTTCCGCGGGAACATTGCTCTCTCGACGGGATGACGTATCGGGTGCCTAATCCCCGAGATATGGCGCTAAATCACTCGATGATGCCAGAAGACACCGTCAATGGGAAAACTCGCCGTAAATGTTCCTACGGCACGATGTCCGGAAATTCCTCGGAAGGCTTCCAGAAATTCGCAATCCTTCACTGAGCAAGTCTCTCAGACCATCGATAAGCAGCTTTCCGCTCTATGTCGCGATCTGATGGACTGATGGTCCGACCCCTCTTTGACCGCCCGCGCGACCTCGGGTGGTTTCCATCTCGCCTCAGAGTCCCGATCCAAGCGCCTCGAGCACGCGGATTCCGCAATCCATGTCCGAAGGGAAAAATCCCTGGAGCGAATGAGGCGGGCGGGCAGGCACGAGGATGCAACAACTACTCAGCTGAGATCTCCATCAGGTTCCCCTAGTCCACCGATGGAGTCTTCGCGTGGGAAAAATTACCGTGCGTTCTACGGCGACCGCTCTTCTCTTCCCAATCAGATTTCCCATCGAGTCTTCAACTCGGGTTGTGTTCACTGTTGTTGCTCTCGTTCCTATTCGTGCCGATTGCTGTCAGTTAGTCGGAGTCTCGACTTCCACTCCGGCGGTCGCGTCATTCCGCGAGCCGTCCAGCTTCCCGCAGGCCTCCCATCCCGAAAGCTTGAGCGCATCGTTGACAAGTCTTCGACTTCAAGGATGTTGCCGACTAGCTCGCCGATCGATCGCAGCTCGCACTCACTCGTAAGGTCATCGGAGCGAACGAGAGCAACAGCGCTACCGTCACCAAAACACTAACAATCAACTATTCGAGGCCAAAGAGAGATGATTGTTTGCGCGGACGGAGCTAGCGACAGACGGTGAGGAACGGATAAACCGACAGACGTTCAGGCACCGACAGAAATTCCTCACGTCGTTAGCCGGCGACACAAATCGGCATCGATGGCGAGAGTGCTAACCGGCCGGCCGGTCGACCGCTCGGTCGGCCGACGTCAGACGAACAGCCTTTATCTCAGACAGAATGAATGTATGTATGTAGTAGGTAGCTCGTTCGAGTAGCCCGGCGCGCGCGCGAGCTCAGCCACTCGGTTGAGCTCTGGTGGCCTTCGCGACGACGCAGTTCAGACAGATTCCAGAAAGCTAAATATGAGACGACGACAACGATGCTGCTCAAATACCACAACCATGTTCCATGGCTTCTCCGCTCAGAGGACAAAATTGGATGAGCGCGGACTGTCCGGCCGAGTCTGCCACCGAACGACCTGTCCGCCGAGCAACGGACTAAACCAAGGGATAGAGATACTCGCTTCGAGTTGCTCGAGACAGATAATGGCACGGATGCCTTCACCAGAAAAACGTATCAGACAGCTCCGGACGGTCCGTCAGATGAGTTGTCGGACTTTCCAGGCATTCCTTGAGCACCGTTCCCCGACCAATGAAAAGAAAAAACATCGTCCCGACACGCTTCGTCTCTACGAGCCGTGAAGCTCTCCAAGCTCCAAGTTCCTGCTATCCGCCCTTCGACCCATTACAGATCCGACGCAGAGGAATTCGAAATCAACAAGTTCGACGGTTTCTGGTCTCGCCTCCCTGTCTGCCTGTCGACCTAGGACGCCCGCGATCGGACATATCGGGGGCGGTCGTTGGGTCCGCGCGAACTTTGCACACGAATCAAGTGCTAGGTGATCAATTAGCGGAGTTGTAGCAATTAATAACGTGATCGATCAATCCAGTGCACTCGTTGTCACGCTCGAGTCAAACTCACCAACATCTGCAAATGAAAGGCGTCATGCCAGTCGAGAGCTCCTATGGGGCTGAGGCTGTCCTGACGCAAGTTCTGTCGCTGGGAATGTCGTTGTTGCAAAGAATAACCCAATTACGGAGGGGATCCGCTCGGTGACGAGGCGGTGCGTTCGACGCGCACGGGGGCTGAATGAGAGGACGAGGATTTTGTTTCCGCTCCGAGATTATCTCAGTTCGCGCTAGTCCACTGTGAAGCGAGGCTTTGGCCTTTCGAATTGTATGTTTTTCACCACTAGAGAGTCTGCTCCCCGATGACTGACGACTCTCATGAGCGCTCGCCGCATCCGATGGAGACGTGTGTTCCGTTGCATGAGCCACTGTTCATTTCGTAACACACACTCGTTACGAGACCCCGACCGCCGCCGAACTCAGCATCAGCACCATAACCACTAGCACCGGAGTCGCGAGCCTCGCGCACTTTTCAACAGAAGTTTCTCGTTCCAGACAGATGAGACACATGCGCTACCGTTTCACTGCTCATCCGAGAGACTCCCGCACATCAAAGTCCGCAGATACAGAGCGTAGCACCCGTGAGCCGATGATTCGTGGAAAAACTTTAGCAACAATGGAGCTACGTCCGCGCATACTAGTTCCGGAGCGAAATAACTTGAGGAAGCCGAGCGCCCGACCGACCGACCACCGGAACGATCAACTGGCTGACTGACTAGCTGATCGTAGTGGTGGCGATGGTGTCGTCTGACTGGTTGACGAGTAGAATGCTTATCTCTGGTCGACGAGGAGACAAGTCAATGACTTGTTGCCTCCAGGTCCAGATACTTGGGCCGCTGCCGGTCCCAGATCGCTACCTCTGAAGAAACAGGGCCGATTCTTGCAGAAGTGAGCACTCCGTCAGTCGTACATTGCTCGTCCCACAAAACGTCGGAGCAGTAGCAGCGGCAGCAGCAACCTTACGAAACGGACAGACCAGAGGAGAGTGGACCCTCACTTTCTTTTTTGGCTGCTGTGTTGATGTTGTTATTTTGTCTCTCCGTGGCTGTCTGCTAGATTCGAATTTCAACTGTGAGGTCGGAATGGTACTGCCGGTGTGGAGGTTTTTCTTCCTGACGAGAATTCGGGCTCATCTCTGCGCGAGAAAATGCCAGGTTGATTGGAACTAAGATATCTCTACTCTCAGCGTAGGGGACCTAGGATTCGATGATCTCTGCCTGCAATCTAAATACGAGTACATCGAGAGCGTGGGGATCAAGACATCAAGACTATGCGTTTGCGAATATCACGAATTTCGGAGAAGTTAGATTCCCTGTCTCGACGGCGGGCTCCTCCGCGTTCTGCGCTGGACTGACCACGGTGCTGGGAGGCGCGATGGTCAGGAAAAGTTCTCCTAATCGGGAGAGATACACAGGACATCGATTGTTGAGCTGTCGGGAGCGCAGTGCGACTCTACCGCAGATCTCTCTTCGAAACGTCTGACATTTGATTCGGAGCATTGGAATTATATCCTCACTGACAGCAAGAAGGAAGAGATACTTGGCATTTGGCATAAGATGTCCTCTGCCTTCACGGCAGAAGTCTCTCACAGGCTGTTAGGCACCTTCTTGGATCCGTGGAACTGAAGTGTCAGCGAGGGGGAAGGTTCCAGTCCTTATTGGAGATGTGCTCCCACGGTTTTCGCTCGTTTGTCAGGAGCGAGAATCGGACCCTCAGCCACGGAGGTACCTCACCCGGGACGTTACTGACCCAATCTAATCATGCGGTGAAGTTACGGAATGAAAGGAACGTGCGGCGGCTCGGGCACTTCCTCTGCACTCAGGACACGAAAAATGTGGAGCATCCTCTCCGGTTTCGCGGCGAGGAACTTTTCTCTATGGTATGGGAATCGCGGCGGAGCTCCTTCCAGGGTCGGGTTCCAGAGATCAGATTCATGAATCATCCCCGTCCTCTGAGCCGCTTGGGTGGGTGAAGGGTCTCATGCTGATTGCTAGGTAATCATGCATGGGACCTATCCTGTGAGTCCTGACTTTTCGCGTACGAGCTGCTGTGTTTGCTCGATGCTCCGTCGGAAAACGGCACTGCATGACATGGGGGGGGGAGCAGGAGAACGGCGATGGAGCCCATCGCAGTGGTTCGCCGCGGCGTTGAAGTGGGACGAATTTCGAGGACTTCCCGAAGAGCGACGGTCTTCTCAAGAATTCGGAGAGGGCTAAGAGTCCGTGGTATCCGGTCTCCCTCGATAAAAAATAATTCCGTCGGGTTGTGGCGGATTCGGTGGAATCCGTCTCAAGTTTTCAGCCTCTCTCAATCCGAAGTAATGCTCATCGAGTTCCGAGCGCTTCTTCAGGCGCACCATTTATTAAAAACAGGCTCACTCACAATCCTCATGTGGGAATTCTTTTGGGGAAGTCTGACTCGCGAGAGAGTCCATGGAGCAATCGGCACGAATTCATCATTGATTTATTCGGGAATGCGTCTTGTTTCGAGGCTCCAGAGGGAATCATCCCAAGAGAAAATCCTCGCTGCCCAGAGATATGTCAAGCCCCAGGGACGTGCTCACCTGGGTGAGATACTCATGCTTCAAGGGCAGCAAGTATTGGCGCTCTTGATCAACTTTCATGCAGCCAATGGAGGCGTTAACTTTCGACAGAAGGATCTCATCCGTCGAGGGTGGATCTTCGGCGGGAGGTTTCAGCGCGGGGTTGGATGTTCCGTCGACGGCTGTGCGCAGATCTTTTATCACCGGGAAGATATGTCCTTCGGTTGTGAAAATGAAGCTCGGAGCACGTGGACTGTTGAGGGGGTTCTCGAAGTCAAAGAGCAAGTAGAGATATTTACAAGTTTCCGAGAGGAAAAAGCTTTCCATTCGATCTTCGAGAGATTTGTCATGGACGTCGTGGATCGTCGCGTAACCACATTTCGCTTTCGAATAAGTATTCAAGCTGTGTAGAATTTCTTTTCCAACGTGGAGGTAGAAAGGATTCTTGGTCGCTCGATATAACAAATATGTGCTTTCAGCTAGCTCAGGTCGCAGCGGGTAGAAGTGTACGTCAGCATTCATGGAGTGCCAATTGAATCTGGAAGAATCGAAAATGTCGATCTCGTTCGATGGAACTTAGTCATACGCCAGAGGCTTCCGGAGGTCTCACCTCTCGGGGAGAGCGTCGAACTTCCGCCAAATTGCGTGATACAGTGCGTGAGAACATATCGCCTCCTCTACGTCGCCGACCAGGACCTATGGATACGAAAGACTTTCAGTCACCGGACTCGAATCGAACGGAAGACCTCCCCCTAGCCGGGATGCCCACCTGAGGGCTCCGTATCCAAGGGTCGGCTCCCAGACTCGGAGTCTCAATAGAAGAAATCGAAACTCCGGGAGAGGCCGTGCACGGATGTTGAATGGCTCACCTGGACCCCACTGAATGCGGCTTGGAGTGCGTCGATCCACAGGGTTGCTGTGCGCCCATTGGCCATGTTGACGTTGACGTAAAGAGGATGATCACCGGAGCCAGCATTGCACTCCAGTCTCCCTTTACGCATGTACCTTCGCGAACCAAGATCAGGTTTCAATGCCGATTTCTCCCGCTGTTTTATACATACGACTAGAAACAATAAATGCCGAGGGCCTGAAGAACCCCAAAAATCCGCTCACCTCTTAATCAGTGAATAGCTCTCATTGAAACGAACGTAATCCTCTCGATCCCCGAACAATATGTAGCTCTTGAGCAAATACTCGAAAAAGGAATCCATGCCAGCCCCTATACCGGATAGCGTCCCCACCCATTGACCAGAATGGACATCGATGACGTTTCCAAGAAGTCCTGCAAGGGGAAATGAGGGGAGACGCCCATGAGCATAGCCTTTAGCTTGATTGCCATCCTCAATCGGGGATCCGTCGGGCAGCCATTCCACAAGCTAAGATTCTCCATTCGTCGCACCTGTTTGCTCGTTCCTTCTCAACCATAAAGCTTTGACAGCACGGCGCGCAACATTTTCGAACACGACATCTCCAGTAAGCCGTGTCAGAACCCCGAACTCGAGAAGAAGGCTCCCCGCCCCCGCCGTGCACGTTTGAGTGGAGCAGTTCGTCGGAACGCCTGCGGGAATCGGACGGCGATCGTCAATATAAATGCAAGGTCATCGAAAATCAGGGCAAACTCATTCCCAGAAGCCCCGTACCTGTAATAAGATTCACCCTGGGAAACGGAATTCCAGTCGAGGTTCCTTCGAATGCGGGCAGCAATCTGGAAGGGGAGCACGTGATTGGAATCGAGCAGAAAAACACACTCTTATCGATGGTGATGCAGGAGACCTTGTCCCAACTCCAGTATTCACCTGTTCGCGAGATCTCTTGATAAAGTCAACAACTCATCGTTGTACCCAGCGGGGGTCAGATCACCGAGATGCTTGTTCGGGTCAGTTATCAAGAGATGGGCGCTCAACAACGACCCAAGAAGACGGATATTGGCTTCGAAAACCTGCATAGACCATTAATTGTTGGGCGTAAGAATCGGGGAGGAGCGATATCACTAAACGAATAAATTCCTGATTATCTTTAATTGAGGTGGATCATTTCGGCCGACTTTGATGCGTCCTCCGCCCATAATTATTCTCGAGCGTATACCTGGACTGTGTTATTCCTGCTGAAGGATACGTTTTCCAGTATCAGCTTTACCGCTCTCTTGAATTCGGAATGATTCCCCATCACAGCAAGCGTGCTCAGGGAATCCACCAGTGTCAGACTATAATCGCCGAGTACGTCATTTATGTTAATATTGTCTCTGTGTAAAAGATCGGGACCTCGTCCGCAGCAGTCTATGGGATTAAGCTCGTCTGCCGGGAACGCGTGTTGCATATAAGAGTCGTAGGCGAATGTAAACATCTCCCTGAAAGGAGAAGCGGATATTTTTGAAAACTATTCAGATTAAGGCGCTGGTTTCTCGAGCGCGTCTAATGCGCGAAATGATCCGGATATGGATCTCCTGTCCTCCACCGGGGAGGGTGGTATTACCTTGTGCGTTCGAGCATCTCCAGGCGCTCCGTGTCATCGAAAGCCCCGTAGCGGCGATCATACCGCCCTGGTTTTGTTAGAAACACATTGATGTTCGCCCTTATTGTAAGCGTACAAGAAGTCGCCAAAGTCAAGGCCACAAGGCATCTTGTCTGGAGCATCTTCAGAGAGAGAATCGGAGATTCTTAGCTTTTGTAAGATGAGTCATAGCTCGGCTTCGCGAGAGACCCATGTACCCATTATCATAATGTCGAATTGTGCCGCCCTCGGAGTTTCCCACGGCATTGGAAGCATCACGTCAATGTGCCCAGATGCTCCAGTATGAGGTATAATGTAGACCAGTGGAGCTCGGAATTCATATCGTATCGGAAACCCACCATGACCGTATGCGACTCCGTCGATCACTGTTCAGGACGGAACACCAACATCCCCTAAACACAACTCCACACAATTGAAAGCTCACCCTGCCAGATGCTGGATTCGGTCACGTCATTGCCGATGCAGCATACTGTCAATTCCACCCGTAGCGTTTGAAAACACTCTAGTTGGTCATTTTTTGTCGAATCCCGATGAGCGATCTGGAAATCAATAGATATTGAACATAGATATCTGGAAATCAATAGATATTGAAAAGGTTTGTTCCCCGCTGCAGCCGTGGAAGGGGTGCCGGCTGCTGGGAGCTGCACAATGAGATTGATTCCCCAGTATGGGCTTCCGTCTCATTTCCTGACTTGTGCGGGCGAAACTTGGTCTACCCTCAGATCCCATATGGTCACCAACATCGAGTCAACGCCGCTCGAAAGGACTCAGCTCCGTTCAAAGTGCCTCCTTGAATCCTCCTTGCGTAAGCAACATGCGATTCGCAAACAGTGAAAGAGACACGACCGAAGTGACATTCTCGTTCGGGACCTTAACATACCTTCGGATGAAGATCTCCAAGTCGTTCACTTCATTATTCAATTGAGGATTGTCAGTCGTTCTTGCCACACGTCACTGGTCCTTGAACTTCGCTCCCGCGATCTTACGCCGAGCGTGCCGTACGCTTGCACTTGAACATATCAGGGAAGGTGCAGGACTCCATCTATGTGATCCCAAGGGGAACCGCGTACTACAGAATCGAACGCGGGTTGAAGCTCCTCTCTGAAAGGGGGATCAGCTGACTGGAGATTGAAGGAAATGATGTCGATGATCTGTTCTTGAATCACAAGCAGGGGTGAGGCGAACCCTATCGGGATTCCCCAGCTAATATAACATTTCAAGCGCTCATATCTGCTTGCGATAATTGAATTCTTCTGCCCGGGTGATCATACATCTTGGAGAATTCTGGCAGATATGCCGCGAGTCTGAGAAAGGCCTCGGCTCCACGAGACGAGCATCTCGCACAGGAATTTCGCCGATTTCTCCGACTTGCTGCAATTATTATGCTCCAGGAGTGCTTCGAGCAGGCGACTGATTGCTTACGGGCCTCCGGGGGGCTCGAGGCTGCGGCGATCCTTGCGTCGAGACGCTCGAGAGAACAGTACGTCCGGGAAGGACGAACCGACACATTGTAACTAGATTCGCTGTACACGGCTTTCATCATTTACTCTGTAAAACTCAAGGATTCCACGAACCATCCGACGATTGTATATGCAGAAGATGTTCCAAACTCTGTCCCAAATACCACGCTCGAGAATGCCCCAATGTGATATCTCTGAATGATCTCCAAACCGAGAGACCAAATGAACAGAGAAAATGTAATTACTTACTTAGATAGGAAGAAACTACTCATTACGAGTGAATAAAGACTTTGATTATTAGAACAGTACGTCTGGAATCGTTCACAGCAACTGTCCTCTCGTTCCGGAATGACAAAAACATGATAAAGAGAGGCTCGGACCCAGAGCCGTTCCTGCGAGCGACTCGGGTCCGCCTGATACAGCTGTCGGAGCCCTCAGTCGGCAGAGCACTCGAGCGGCTCAAGATTCCGATGGGAATTCATCGAACTGGGCTTTCGAGTCAGAATCAGGGCCTCAACTCGAATGACCTCGACATCTTCGTTCGAAAAATTCCAATTTTAGTTCGAGAACCGCCTCGGCCACGCTCCTATCCCCGATACGGGTCCCACCGGGTTGCATGCCTTGCGTAACTCCACCGAAAGGAACAGATACCGAATATTCGTTCACCGCTGATACCCTGAATGAAGATATCGATCAGTGATTACATAGTTGGGGATTTTCCAGGAAAAGCTCGAGATGAACACGGGAAATACAATGCTTTATTGATTCCTCGCCGTCATCAGTCGGGGGGCTCGGCCAGCTTTTCGTCCCTCTCGTAGCCTTCAGTTTTCATATCGTTGAGTCCCAGTTCCTCGTTCTGTTCGAACGTTCTCTCGTATTGCGTGATCTTCAACTGGGGATCCGGTTCTGGCGCCAGGAGGTTTTGCACATAAGAGTTCCCGCAAGGATCGTCGAAGACGAGTGTGCACCTAATAGAAAGAAATTCATCTATCCCTGGTCTTTCGAAGCTCATCATTTCCGCCTCCAGTTCGACCCCAGGCTCACCGTTCATCACCGACTTTGATTGCATGCAGGCGGCTCAGGAATTTCTCGAGTTTCGACTTTCGGTCACCTTCGGCTGAGTCTCCTTGGAGAAAAGGATTGTCTCGTCCTAGTTGTGATATCAGGTCATCGAGGAGACCCTCGATTGTGGTGAATTTGCCTGTGACACACGAATCGAAGATTATCCTCCGTGAATATCGATGAAGCCTCGCCGGGGCAAACAGTCCGAATTTTGCTTGCTTAATTGCATAATTGCTTGCTTAGGGGTAAGCACCTGTTATCAAAGCTGAGCCGCCCTCGAACTCCAGTTCAGGGATTTCCAGCAAACAGGTCTCTGATTTCAAAACGTCCCTCGACAAATCTTCCGGACGCTCAAGTCGCAGCTCGATCCGTTTACCCAGAGACTCGATTCCGCCGCCAGACTTTATCTCATTCGTCTTGTGCCCACACGCCTCGCACACCATGGCCATGATCACAACCTGGGAAAGAAGAATCTTTGAGGCTCAGGAAGGCTCACTTTTCTATATTCCTCCGGGTCTCATGCGAGGGGATGACCAAGGAAAATCGTGGCGCAAACATCATGGGAGAATATTCGGCTGTTTTACCTCCTTGAAATGAGGGATATCTGTAAGTTTCATTTTGATTTCAGCTGGAGCGCGACATTCTGGGCACTGGGTTGGGAAACTGTGAACTTCGTCCCTGAGCTCTTCTGTGAATTTCGATGCTGAATTTTCCGTTTCGGGATTGAGGCCCAGCATCAAATTATGTGCGGCGCTCCTCGAGAAATGCGAGACGACCAGCTGCAGATCTTTCTCGGGGTGATACGGATTCTCTATGAAGGAATTTCCTGAGCAGTCTTCCAGAATGAAATGGAATGGACGCTCCACCTCCTTCAGCTTGTCTATGCGAATGATGAACTGATTGATTTTTTCCCGGCTTTCGGGGTCGATATCAGCCCTTGCCAACGTCTGCGAGAGGCCCTGGATCGCTCTATCTATTAAGCCTTCAATTGTCGTCACCAGGCCAGGTTGAGACTTCTCAGCGACTTCGAATTCCACTTCCGGAATCGTCAGCGACGCGTATTCTGTTTTCACCACCTGACGATTCAGGTCTCGCTTGTACCTGCAGAATACCTCAATTTCTTACTGTGTACATGTGATTTTTCCTTGTTTTTCTTTCTTAATGCTTATCCATTGGAATCCAGCAGACGCCGGGCTGGAAGTTCGGATCGAATCCTACCTGACTGTCAAGTCTAGTTTCTGTCCTCTTTCTTGGATAGCAGATGCACTCTGAAGCTCATTATTCGACCATCCACAGTGGTCGCAATGGAATGACATGATGACAACCTCTTTATAGAAAGGGATTTTCGTCAGCAGAAGCCGCGTCTCTCCCTGTTCTCGGCAATTCAAGCACAGACTCTCGATCTTCATCACCTGATCGAAGCGAGCGACAGTTAGGAGCGGACGACCACTATCGACGGGATTCTGCGGGTTCTTCTCTTGGGAGCCCAAAGACTCTCTTGCGCGGACTCTCGCTTCAGGCGCCGGTTCGACTCCGAATCTAGCGGACTGACTCTGATCTCACTTCTGAATTCCTTATGGAAAAATCCAGGTAGTTTCGTACTCGCCTCGTCGTCCATTTCATCTGCGTGTAGATCTTTGAAAATTTCCTCCTCGACACCACTGGAGCCCTTCTCTTCCGCCATCTGCAAGGACATGAAGCTGCGAAACTCGAACTCGAGAGCTTTCCCCATACCTGCCGTGCGATCCCTGACGAAACCCGGAGAGTGACAGCAGTCAACACCGCCACGCACCTCGGAAACAGCGCTATCGAGAATACCCCTCGGAACAGTGAACGCTCCGCGAAGCGGATTCTTATGTCTCCCACGACGATCTCAGGATCATTGACTTCTCCTCAAGGCTCGCAGAATCTGACTCTTTGCAATGGGGAAGAGTCGCGGAGCGAAGAAAGAGCGCTCGGGGACCCCTCAGACTCGCGCCAAGGAGCACGTGTGTTTCTATTCCCTAACGTTAAGCGTCGGAATCGGAGGGGCTCGATAAGTTCCGCGTTTTAAGGTGAAACCACAGATAGACGGACCTTCGCCAAAACACGGAGTGGGAGAGACTTGGAAAAAGTCTTCTTCGGAGCATCGAATTCTATCGGGAGGACCGGCGTGTGCGATTGATTTTCTATCGCTTCTTCTGCATCCGTGACAGTTACCAGTGCGTCTCGAGTCCGGCGCGGAGCAAGCGGGCCGGAATGCCGTGCTCGTACTAAGTCGCTCGGTTTAAACTGTCTTCTGACAGCTGACGTGGACTAGAATACGGCAGTGTGGTGTGCTCCCTCCGGCCGAAATGGGTTCCGGCGCATCGAGCGTGGCGGAGCTCGGCACGAACGAAAACCTCGCTCGATTGGCTTCGGCCGAAAGAATATGCTCGAACGACCCTTTCTGGAACGGACTCATGTCCTACACGGTTCCTATACCTCGGACGAAGCGGGACGATGAGCTTCTGACAGCAGCGGTGCGCGGCCACCTGGATCGATTCGTCCAGTTCAACCCTCAGTCAAATAACTTGTCGTCGCTGATACAGGTATTCCTCGGGAGAGTTCGCGAAATCGCAGCGTTGCCAATCTCGGAGCAGAGCCCCGCGTTCCTCTGGCAAACAGAGCGGCTCTTGTTCGTACTCCGATGCGTCTCCAAAGCCCTCATGGAGACACTGACGGAGGACGCCCTCCTGAAACAATTGGTGTCCGCCGAAAAGCCAGACGAAGAACCAGAGAGGCTGCTGGACTATTTCCTGTTCTCTTTGATCGAGATTTTGGTGAAGGTTCCGCTGAGCCGGCACTCGTACAGCCTTCACGTCGAAGCTCTCTGTACGCTCCTGGTTTTCATGTCTCAACAGATGTTCTCGACCCGAGCTTCGCACACATCGATCATATTCACTACGTTAATGTCGGGTCAGTGTAAATTGCTCTCAGCAAGTCTGACTAAATACCTCGTTGAAGCCTACATGGCCCAGATGAAGAATCCCCCGAACTTCTACGATCAAAACGGATCTCAAGGCGGCAGTCTGATCGTCGACCTGGCCGTGGGTCTCTTCGGTGCGTTGGGCGTCTCGGTGGCTGAGCCCACACCAAGCGACCAGAGACCGGAAGCCGTCCTATCGCAAATCGCCTTAGTCACACTTCTGATCCTGACGAACCATTGCACGGACACCGGTGCCGAATCGGTGATGAATCCGTTCCGTAAACATCTGTTTGCCTTCGGTCTCGAATCCGTTCAAGTCGAAGGAGCCGGAGTATGCAGTTTTGTCTGCAACGGTCAACGGCTGCTCGAGGTGATTTGCGGCGACCTGAACGAGGCACCGGCTATGCTGCTCCTCTACATGCTCCTACATAACAATCACACATTCAAGCTCTTCATTCTATCGCGGAGTAACATCGACTACATGGTTCTCCCGATCCTCCAAGTTCTCTACCAGGCGGAAAACCGAAGTTCCTATCATGTTTACATGGCGTTGATTGTGCTCCTGATCCTGTCCGAGGACGACCTGTTCTCGCAGACGCTGCAAGACGTCACTCTCCACCACGTCGATTGGTACTCGGAACGGAACGTCGGCGATATCAACCTGGGCTCGTTATTTATACTGGTCGTTATCCGCACCATGCACTACAATATGACTCGCGCTCGGGACCGATACCTCCACACGAATTGTCTCGCAGCGCTCGCCAACACTTCAGCCCACTTCAGTCGGATGCATCCGTACGCAGCCCAGCGGATGGTCTCCCTCTGTCAGATCCTGGGCAAGAGGTACCACAGGCTCCAGGAACAAATCGCCTCAATGGAGGAGGGGAGCGAGCCCCACAACGAGGTTTCGCTCGACCTGGGCGTCTGCGAGGAAATGCTGCGTCTCATGCTTGAGATTATCAACTCTTGCCTGTCGCATCAGCTCAAACACAATCCAAATTTAGTGTACTGTCTTCTGTATAAGAGCGAGGTGTTCTCACATATCGGCATGCAGGATGCGTTCATAGATGTCATAAAGAATATAGACACGGTGATACAATTTTTTACCACGAAACTCGATCAGGCCACGCAAGGACATCAAAGATCCGAGGCTCAAGTGACGCAGCTCATTCAAGAGGCTTCGATGCTGTGGAGCTCAGATCGGCTTCGCAAATTCCCGGAACTGAAATTCCGCTACGTCGAAGAAACTCAGCCCGAAGAGTTCTTCGTCCCATACATCTGGTCCCTTGCGTTTTCCATGGCTCCTGTCTACTGGAAAACCAAGAATCTTATACTTTTCAGCCCCGGCGGTGAGCAGTCCGGGGTTCTGGTCTAGTCGATCGAATTTAAGGAACCCCAGCAAAGTCCTCTGAGAGGAACGGATGCCTCCAGTTGTAAGCGCGACAATTGCTCCTTTTCGAATGATATCTCATTCTTTTAACAACTCTAGAAACGGACGCCAGCAGGACGTTTTCTCGATAATAAAGATCAAAGCTGCAGAAGATTCGTAGTCATTCAATGATTCTGGGGATGAGCTTCTCAGACAACAGCGATTGGCACCGCTTCCTCATCGGTCTCCGGGTCTGAGCTCATTATATAACATTATCGATCAACGCCTTCATTCGAGAACATCACCTACATATAGCATGCAGTTGAATGATTGAGAAAAATTTTCTCTCGTTAGAGAAAACAAAAATCATAGGTTTCGCGTGTTTATTGCGAAATCCCGGCAAGACGCGTTCCCATTTCGCTCGACCGATCTGGTATTGTACCTCAGAAACCAGTTCCGGAAAAAGCTCTCGCTCGGGAAGACTTCAGAAATCGACTCAAAGTGCCGATTCCTTCAACAGCTTTTCCCTCTGGCGGGATCGTTCGAGGCGAAATATCGCGGCTTGGCTCGCTGTCGCACCGCAGGCTGCGAACGCCTTGCGCTAACTTCCTGTCACCGGGCGGTTCCCGAATATGTATGTGCACAATCCGATTAAATAACACAGTCCCCTATCAATGAGCGAAACCTGGTGATACAGAGTAGGCGAACATTTTCTCCGCAGCTGACTTGAGCGACGTAGAAACCATCTCTTCGTCTTCGTCATCTTCACCATCACTATCTGAGGAGGAGTTATTGTTCTGCTCAGGATCTTCATCAACAGACGATTTGAGGTGGTCCACGTACTCCCGATATATCGGCTCCACGAAACGTTTCGATCTGAGCAGAACGTAGGGGTCGAAGGGAAAATAAACATCCAGCTTCTGGTTGCCCGGGTTTGCCATCGGTAGCGCGCTTCTCTGATTACGTTCGAAAATTGCGTAGCAGTAGACGACCTGGTAGTGTCGAGTCACGTTAGCGAAGTGGATGCCGACAGCTGGCGAAATCACCTGGGAACAAAAAAAAATACTGTAGGTGAAAAATATGGTAAGAGTGAGAGAGCCATCGTTCAGTGGCTCGGGTGCCTCGAGAATCGGTCCCTCGACGGTGTCGGCCACCAAGGACTCACCTTCAATGGATTCAAGGGCGAAGTCACGATTTGCTCCAAGTTCAATCTCTGAAGATATCCCAAACCATCGTCTCCTTCGATGATTTCCTTGTGGCGGAAGGCAATGCAGTAGAAAACAGACTGGCAAACGGAGTAGAAGGTACCGTGCTTGCTGAGATCAACAGTCAAGCTCTGCGCGGAACTACTCTGGGCGACGTAGCTGTGCAGGAATCGCGTCATCAGAAGCAGACTGTCTTTAAGAGTTCCCACTCCAATGAAGGAGCATCTACAGAGCAGCGACCCCAGATAATAAACGGCGATCTGTCGGAAAACCACGGGCGTGTTCGGATTCTGGACTTTGTGCCAAAGGAAATCGATGAAATGGTCGGTGATTACGGGCCGCTTGGAACAGATGTAGAGAAGAAGGAACTGGATGTGGAGACACTTGTAGGTCGAGAGGATGAATTTGTCAAAAACGGTCAAAAACTTCCGGTAGGTTCGTTTGAGATCATCGACGTCGATTACGTGCCTGTCGATGTATTCGAAGAACACTTCCATCAGTCTGTCGAATGTATTTCCTAACGAGTGCTTCATTTCTTTGACGGCGTGATCCTCGGCGGTCTCCATGCTGAATTGCGTCTCATCGTCCTCGCTCACCATCTCCTCCTTCGGACATTGACAGTCCAAGTCAATTATTTTATGGATCAGTCTCGACAAAACTTCAAGAGAGACTTCCTCGGGCACGTAGTCCACCAACTCCAACATACTTCGATAGAAGTGTACTTGTGACTGCCAAGATTTCGTCATGAACGGAAGGTTTCGGCTGATTTGTTTCAGGAGGCTCTCCGAAAACCGGGGCAATTCTTTGATCATGGTCTGGAAAGATCCGTGAATCTGCGAGATTTTCTCCTCTGGAGCGTCCTCGCTCTCTATGGTGGTCAGAGCCCTGAGGAGAAGGCGACAGACTTCACCGTGGTAGAAGCTATTGGATCGAGCCATCTCCACTAGTAGTTTGAGGTAGCAGGTTAGGATCGCGTCTTCTAGAGCGAGTATATTGCACTTGAATAACTCATCAACGAGAATCTCGTTGTATCCATCGAGCAGGCTGGTGACTTTCGCGAGCTCGGTCAGCAGAGTGACAGGGCTAATCACATCGTGAGGCTTCACGCCACTCACGACGTGTTTCGCCGAGGCCAGTAACAAACGGAAGCCTTCGTTGGCGCTTCGTGTGGCTCTAGTTTCCGTCAAAACAGCCACATAATTCATCTCTGAGCTTCTGGTCGTCAGGCTTCGACGCGGAGCTTGCATCGACGGAATCAGGAACTCGCCCACCTTGGAGTCCGGTGGGTTTTTATTCATCGTCAGCATGGTTGTTGACATCGTCTGTGGATCGAACGTAGAGAATTTAGGCATGTCTCACCGAGCGCCATAACCGATGACATGGGATGTGAAGTTCGGACCGAGAGCCGACCAGAGCCTCGAGGGAGAACGGAATCCCATCAGCGACTGACAGCCTGGAGTCGAAACTCAGCGTTCTGGCTTCCGACAAAACGCGATGAGTATCACAGGACAATCAGCGGCTGCGATCCGAGCGCCCACATGAACAAGTCCCGGCAAGAGTGCAGAAATCGAAGCCTCTCTCTCCTACCATCGGATCGCGAAGTGCGGGTCGTGATCCCGAGCTTGGAAAATACGGATCTCAAGCTTCTAAGGCTTCTCGGCGCATGGACATCGAGATAGAATGTTCGATTCGGGACTCCGAGATTCTCAACGCTGCATAACTATCACGTTCTCCTAATTTCGCGGATCGGGTGGCATGTGACTGTATGCATCTCAGCGTGCTCAAATAGTGAATGTTAACTCACATTGATTGACGATTCCTTGCGTTCTACCGTCACAAAATCTTTCGGCACCAATTCTTCTTCACGTTCTGGGAACCTCAATGTGTATTGCTATCATTACGAGATCACACGTGTTTCCGCCTCGCATCGAGAGCTTCTCTCGGTGGCGGCGCAGGCTGTTGCCAGCTGTAGCGCTTGCGGGCGAGGGAAGCGGAGAGGAGGATATATCGCGGATCTTTTGTTTACGTCAGATATATTACTCGAAAAAAGCGCAGAACGAGTTTAATCGCTCGTTCCACGACGATCATCCTCATTTATACAACCCACACGCTTCGAGCAGTCCCGAACAGCGAGATTGATTTTCGGGGACGCGGATCAGCCGACCGTGAGCCATCTACCGTAAGCTCACTCTGACTCTGATTCTTATTCCGCTGAAGAATCCTTCCATCACCTCGACAGGAATCGGGGTTTCCGCCGGCCGTTCTTTAGCTAGTTCTCTCAAAATCCGGTGACATCTGCATGTATGCATTCAAGAGACCTCTCATCGCTTCCCGCTCCGAATTGTGTGTCGGTGCATCGCGCACACCCTACGAGCCGCCGCGCCGCTAAGAGATTCAGCAGTTCAGCAGGCCGGTGTCAGAAGCAGCGCCACCATCAAAACACGGCGTTCGAAAAGCAGATATGAACTGTTTCTCCGGGTGAAAATTCCGAGGGAAGTGCGTCTAAGAGTGAAATGACGAATTCCACGGATGTGGCCGAACCTCCAGCAGTCGTCAAATCGAAACATTCTCACCATGGTATGTTGGAAGTCTTGGCTGGGTCATAACCAGAGCTGTAGGCTTTACTGTGAACCCCATGGAGCAAGCTTCGTATACCTCACGGGTGAACCTCCACTCGCTGCACGCATCGTCGGGATGGGTCTTCGGTACCTAGAGGTCCCGCAACGAGAAACGTCGGTCAGGGGTCACTCGTGCCCAGTTGCTACTCGTCGAGAGCCGAGGGTGTCATGGGGAATCACAGATTCGTAGGAAACACTGGATGAGAGATCCCATATTATTCCAGATAAGTATACGGACATCACCACAGCCTACTATATTTTCGCGTTTCTTCTGATCGGTGTACCCGTATGGTGGAAGTCTACCGCGATACATAGAGCCTACATCCCCTTCCACGAAATCGTTGAGCTCCATAACAGCAATGCAAGTATCGTATCGGTCGAATATCCGGAAGAAACCCCTCGTCGGCCTCAGGTTCTCTGACGCGACTCTTTGCCCGACAGGTTTCCCAGTTGATCCATGTTCTGCTCATGGTGGACGATTCTTCCATCGATATAGATCCGCTCTCGGCATCCATTTCCGAAGCGAACGCCATCAGGGACTCCAACGTCAACTCTGCCCATCTGCGGTTCTCTTATTCGTGGAACATTAGAAGAGTCAGCAAGAATGCTGAGGACGTGATCTTGAATTCCAAGAGTCTGTCGTCTCTGGATGACAATTTCAAAACCCTTTTGGAAGGTGTCACGGCAGACATTGTGGTTGTCCTGTCTAAATCGTTTCCGGCTCACCCTCGTGCCATAGTCGGCGGTCACCGCACAGTTTTCGTGTCTTCAGTGGAGAAGGACTTGCTGGTTCTGGCACGTTATCTCGTCAAAAGCGTGGTGTACAGCGTGGTTCGTGAAGACGTCTTTCGGAGTATTTCGCAGCCCTTCTCGAGCGAAGAAAGGAAGCGGGTAAGGCATAGGCATGAGTTCTCGTCTTTTCCATGATGAGTTTAGGTAACCCTCAAAGAACACAGTGACTGGTTTCCATCGTCTCGATGAAGATTCCCCGTTCTCCGTCATCGAAACGAAGGCCCACATAGGATGTTGTGGAATCGATTAGAATCGATAGATCGATAGAGTCTTTTCTCAAAAAAAATGATGAGATTACGGGACTAGTATTCGGCTGGGTCGAGAATCGATCAGCTACAACAATCATTGCAAATAAATGTGGAAGCTTTTCCTTACAGCCGACCAAAGAGCAGCAGCGCTCCTTGCACGCTTCACCGTCCGTGGACGTTGTCATCACTTGCGTGGTGCCTCAGCCTCAAGTCATTGATGTACGCAGAAAACTCTATACTGCGGTCTCTTCCATGTGTCCAAGATCCACCTCCTACATATGGCCAGCTGATGTACTGAGTGGTCGAGTAATGGTTTTCAGGTGACTTGGAACAGCGAGGCGGCTTACAACGCTTACATGAAACCCGTGGTGAACAGGTTGAAACATGTGGTGCAACTCAATTTGAAGACTCAGGTAAAGCAGCAAAATTCTCTTGAGGGAACATCTTGCGATGTGTTGCGGAGGAGCCAGCCGACTATTAATCTGACTCGTCCCTCAGTTCAAGTTCGGGCATGCGATCAAATTGCACACCGAGAAGAATCCCGAGTCTGGCGGCTTCCAGATCCGACACGATAAACTCGCTCTGCTCATCAATCAGGTCAGCTCTCTCGTGATAGCGTGAAAAACCGGACGAACTCGACCTCGTTAGTCTCTAGCTCAATTCGCTTTTTTGTGAGACAGTTCGAGAAGTTGTTGCCCGGGCAAGTGTCGCAGAGCCCTGTCTTGAATTTCATCGTCTACACTGTTCCCAAGGAGATTTCACCTTTGCACATAATCGACGAGGAAGGTGAGTGATACCTTCCGGATGCCTTGCGCGATATCGTGTCCCTGAAGTGAAGGTCGGGACATTTGTAGGGTGCCTATGGGAAACATTCCACCCCAGAGCTCCGGAGGGGTCGAAGTTTTTTTTCTCTCGCACTGAGGGTCGTCAATTTTTTTCCTGCGTCCAGTGCTCTGTCTCCGTCTAGCCTTACCGAAAACCTGTCCGATGATGAGTGGGGGGGGGGGCTCGATGGCTGATCCCGGAGGACGGAGTCAGGAGGAGGCTACGGAGTAGTCACTGAAGAAAAAAAGATCGGGACAAAGTCATTCTCGAGCGAAGAAGCCCGACCGGCTGGCCTGATTGAAGTACCTACTTGACAGCTAAACTCATGCAGTGTTCACACTTGGTAGGGAGAAAGCTCGAGAGTAATGCGTTCATCTCACCTCGATGGGGAGGTGTCATGTTCTACAACGTTGAATTCCACGGAGCAAGCGATGGGATGCAGAAGGTGGCCCTGGACAGCCGGAAAATATATCAGGTACGGTGTACGTCACCCCAAGCCTTGGCTTCAGGTATTCCCTCGCTTTCCCTTCCGGCTGCACAAGCCCTTCCAAGTACGAGTCTTGGGAGCGGCCTTCACGACTGAAATGACGACTAAAGCTTCTCCGCGTGATCCATGTGCAGGTGCTCCTTACTCAAATCAGACCTTTACTGGGCGTCCCTGAGAAAAGCTCAGCGATGGAGTTCGACACGCACTTCCGCCGCGATGGTGCAGTCTTCTCCGACTGGGAAATCGATTTCATGATGCGGAGGAGAGCTCATGACTATCTGAGCGCTACAGCCAGGATCCTGCATAGTTTAGCCGATCTCGTCAACAAAATTGGGAATATGGTGATCAATGAGAACGTTGGACAGCTGGTGGGTATCCGGAGTCTGAATCTCGATTCGATATCAGAGGATTTGTTACGATCGTGGGAAACTAGATCGCCGGTCATTCATTGGAATAACCCCAGTCCCTCGCTTTAGACCGTAGCATCCGTCGCATCAGCTCGAAACGCACTCCGACTCCTTGATCAGGTGAGAACTCCAGTCACGAGTCTTGTTCTGTGGCTGGAAGCTGCCTCTTTCCGGATAATCAGAGTGGAAGGCTGTATCGGATCGACGACCGATTTGTTTCCTCAGGGGCACCTGGAATCTGCTATGGCATCCGCTGAGGATGCGTTCACAGCTTCGGAAAAAGCGTTCTTCGATCCTTCCCTTCTCGGCCTCCTCTACTTTCCCGACGACCAAAGATACGCGATATATGTACCCCTCTTCGTGCCAACTTTGTACCCTATAATCTTCTCAACTGGCCTGATCGCGCGGTACATCTATAGTTTCTGTTTGAGGTGGCGCAAGCAGAAGTTCGAATGAAAACTGGTGATCTCGGACGATTGCTATGGAAGCCTGCATATTTGTGTCAATTCCTCGGCTTTCAAAAAAGTGTATATAATCTCTAAACGAGTCTACGCCTGGTCGATTTAGGTATGTCTACCCTTGTAAATAAAGCCAAATGATTCTTCTTCTAAAAAGCTTCCTGAAATCTGCGTAGTGTATCGTGGGAAGTTCTCTGGGGCTCAATAATTAGGGTTGCGATATCAGAGGACGCGTCTTTTTGGTCAGTTTTCCCGTCCCTTGGAGTTTCCCTAGGAAATTAACGGAATCCACGGGAAGATACCACGAGTGCCGACTGAAAATCGAATTCCCGCTCCATTTCATCGTTCTTGACAATGGGGTCTCGACGGTACGAGCATGAGCGATTCGTGTCTGAACGATCGTATCCGGATGTTGAAGGTCACACAAGTGTCCTTCATCGAGAAAATAGTTGGGTGGTTTAATCAGTTCTTCGGAACGGGCCAAAAACATGAGATGTAAGTCCGCTTTGGACTTCCGCTTTCCGTCCCGGGGCGCCCTCCCCTGTCCTCAAACAATCCTCGAGGAAACCATAAGAATGAGTTTGCAAGAGTCTATGTGCAGGGTATCCGAACATTTATTCGACTCCCGATGGCGATCAGGTCGAGAGTACACCTTCGTGTCCCGAAGAGCCAGAACACGAAATTGCACTCTTGGGAGTAAACCTCCTCTCTGTCTCTCTCGATCAATCGCAACAACTAACACCTCCCTCCATTCCTGGAACACTTGATCTGACACACGAGATCTTCAGCGGAACGAAACCCGAGAATACGAAAACAGCCATCCGCGAAACTGAGGTCATGCTGAGAGCTTTGGCATCTTCTCCAGATATGTTCCTACTAACTAAGTGGATCCTGGTACTTTGCTACCTGCCAGTCTACATCCCCAAAAGCTGTTGCCGGAGCCCATGCATGGGTGCGATCTGATCGGACATCTCCGGTTCCTTATTCCAGTGAGTTGTACACGAGTAATTGCTTGAGAACTTTCGTCTGACTCGTTTCTCGTATCTCGCCGGCGAGGAACATCTCGTCTACGACACTGTAGACCTGGGCACAAGGGGAATGGCATTAGACTTCCGATGAATTCGAGACGCCCTCTCTCACGGGTCATGTTGATGTGGCAACGTAAGGTATATCTCACCTTGTAAAAATTGAAAACCAAATCCAACTCGCATACGCTGTGGAAGTACTCATTAAGCACTTCGACGAAATTGTGTATGGCCTCAAGATAGGCGAGGTTATTTTCTTTGACATCCACGCACACGCAGAAGTATAAGCCCGCGTAGCGCCTGAAACGATGGCTCCATTTAGAAACGTCCTAGACATCCTCAGGATTGCCTCTTGGAGAACACTTCTTGTCATGGGAATGCCAACATGCCGTGAATACATTCACGAAACCTTACGGACAAAATTCCAATTCCCAATCCTAACTTACCTGTAAATGATCTTGAAGTTGCGGAATTCCACAAAATTCGTGTGCTTAGCGTCCCGGACCGTGACGACGGCGTGCACCTGCGAAAACACGATCGACCTCAAGATAACTCCTCCTCATGGATCAGATAGCTCCGACCGAACTGCGCAATGACATCATGGATCATCTCACCTCTTCGATCAACTTCTGCTTTTCATCGTCTTCCAGAGTCATGTACCATTTTGCCAAACGAGTCTTGCCAGCGCGGTTTTGGATCAGTATGAAGCGAATCATCCTCGGAATCGACTTTTGAGGATTCTTCTGGAAAGAAACGTTTCTTCTCCCCGCAGGCGACGAGGATTTACGCTGGTTTGCGTAAAGCCAAGGCGTCAAAAATGAGCCACGAATCCTGGACACACAATATTCTTCCGTCAAGCAGCTGAGCTGAGTGTTCCTCCCATAGGAGTAGAGGAGGGCTACCTGAAATCACTGCCCTCGCGCACCCACTGAGTGAGGGCAGGAATACTCCCGGGATTAGGAACTTCTTCTCGCGCGCCAGGGGACTCAACTGAGCTCCGGAGGCTGAGCAAGGGTCTGATAGGCGCCTGTTCTAAAACGAAAAACGAGTTTTGGGTGTTTCGGATTCCGATTACTCGATATAGCTGAGTGGTCCACTTCAAGATGGCGACGCCCGCTGTCAACCCGAGACGGTGGAGAGTCGGAGAGCTCTCCCTTGTCACTCAGTGTGCTTCTTCGGGAAAGGGAGCCGGTCTGGCGGATTCCGCGCTCACCAGGTTCCCCTAAAACCTGCACAATATCTCTGATTGAAAATTCCGCCATGGCTTCGGCAGATATATTTATCACTAGCAACTCCAAGCACTAGCCGGAAATGAACACGTCAGACTGCTATAAATGTCTCCAATCTCTGAGCGGAGCAACAATCGCTAAGTTTCCGATTCCAGGAGCAACGACTGATTCGGGCGTACCCACGATTCAGCATTCATATTCGTTCGTCGACGGTCCTACAGAGCCCCAGAGCATGCGATCCGGGGCTCAGTTCTTCCGCCGCCGCGTTTGCGTAAGGCGAAAAGGAATTTGAGATCAGGCGGAATGTCATGGGCTCTGGTTTCTCGATGCTCACCTCGAAGAATCCTGGTGAGAGATTCCCGAGCGGGACCTTCTAACGCGGCGGAACCCAAGCCTGGGAATGGTTGCCGCATGGAGCGCCTCGCATTGCTCGAAAGTTCACGAATGACTTCTAGCGGGAGGACAAATCCGTCAAGTCTGATATGAAGGCCATCACTATCGACACGGCTTCGGTTTCCGCTACGGAGGAGAAGCCTAGTCCGAGTCTACTTTTGTGATTTCTCCAGAAACTCTGGGACGGTAGATTTCGGATCCCCAGAACCGATTTCAGACCGGGGAAGTGTACCGCAAACCGCAAGGTGTATGCATGTCGCCATGCCCTATCCCGGCCTCATGATCCGTGATTCAACTTCCGAACTCACGACCCAACAACCAAGAAACCTCTCGGAGGGTCGAAATTCAGAATCGACTCCTTTTGACTCCCATCTGGCTGTAAAAAGATAATCAAATGTCTACACTTCCGGACTGGATTCTTCCTCTGATGAGTCTTGCCGCTCGGACAATCCTAGGAATTCGATCGACGCCCCGAAGTACGCTCGCTCCGGATGGTCGTGTCGTTCGAGATCCGAGTGATAGAGTTCTGATATCACAGAATCGGTATACCTCTATGTATAAAAATCGCATGTATGTCTGTTTGTTCGCTATGCATTCCATTACCACAAAACATGCAGCAAAGATTTTTGGAGGGAGTGATCATTATATACCCGAGAAGGTTCAGCGCCAGTGAAGTTTCAATTCGCATCGGTACATGACGATTCGGCGCGGACGATTCGGCGCGAGACGATTCGGCGCGAGACGATTTGGCGCAAAGGATGATTCGGCGCGAGACGATTCGGCGCAAAGGATGATTCGGCGCAAAGGATGATTCGGCGCAAAAGATGATTCGGCGATAATCAATGAGAAAGGAAAACACAGGGATCCCAGGTCAAGTCATCTCACAACATTAGGATTTGCGAGGTTTGCAGCGAAAAGTAGACCGTGAAATTCGACTTCACTCTGACGATTCCGTCGCTGAACCATCGTTAATTTTTCTCAACCGTGATATGTTTCCTCTTCGATCGCTAAGCGACCGGATCCTTTCTATCCAGCGCTCCGGATCTACCTTTGCGCCGAATCATCTTTCGCGCCTAACCATCCGTTGCGCCGAATTGTCCGGCGCCGAATCATCCTTTGCGCCGAATCGTCTCGCGCCGAATCGTCCTGCGCCGAATCGTCTCGCGCCGAATCGTTCGCGCCGAATCGTCCTGTTCCGTAGTCATCCGGCTGAACTATATGTTCGTGCGGGGTTGCGCGGACGCGGGGATTCCGACGCGATCGTGCCGCGCGTTGTGCGGCTGCATGCGCCGCCAACCGGCGCTGTCGTTCTGCGGAAGTTTCGCGCTTACGGCGCAATTCTCTACTCAGCCTCTGCCGCTGTGCTGCTCGGAGGAGCCCTTGATCAGAATCTTCCGAGTGATCGTGTTCGGAGTGTGCCGGTGGGGCTGTTCGTGTCCGTCTTGAGCGAGTCCTATTTGCTGTCGGCGTTCCGGGAGCCGTGGAAGAACGCGTTCTTTTGGCGACAGGCTCGTGAGAAGAGTTTTCCATGATGAGGAATGCGACGGGGGAAAGATAATGATGCAAAGGGGGAAAGGTTAATGGTGCATCGTTTTCTAGGGAGATGGAATAATTGATAATGCTGGGATTTCCGCGCCAATACCTTTGAACTTTGACATGGAAAAACTCGACGGAGCATGCTTTGCGAGAAAGTCTGAGCATTCTCCTCAGTTCATGGGGAAAATGTTAATCGGCAGCCGTGCTGTCAGAGGCAGTCGAGCTCTTGTGGAAGGCGGTGGCCATGTAACAGGTGTGACACACGCGTGACATTAGCCGTTTATATGGAGGGGGGATAATTTGTCGGTACTTCGTCCTCATCGTTATTGGAATGAGCTAATTCGACCAATGGGATGGCAGTATCGTTTTGAACATTGTAGGGTGGTGTTCACGTTCCCTTTGCTCTCTTGTCACTCGAGGGGAAACCTTTAGAAAAACGTTTTTGAAGCGACCATCATGCCCCCCAAGCGACAATCAATTGGTCGGCCGACACGTTCCGCCGCGAAGCGGAGGGCGACTCTGGTGCCGGTGACCAACACGCAAAGAGAATCGCGATAAGAATCCATTCGGAGTAATGTTGCTCAACTCCGTGCAAATGAATCATTTGATCATCGAGAATCGAGGTTAGAAATTAATCGTCTTTATACCGCAAACGCCCGACTCAGCGAAAACCATTATGAAAGAGCTGCTAGATTGGCATGCAATAGAGGACGGAATTCTCGATCTCGACGATCTGAAAGTGCTGAATTAAAGTATAGTTCTTCTCATTACGACCCATGTTGCGATTATAGCCTCAAACCTGAAGTAAGGACCGGCGGAATGAATGAGTCATGCCAATATTGTGGCGCACTCAAGTTCAAGAATGAGCCGCCAGGATTGTGCTGTGCAAGCGGGAAGGTAAAGCTTCCCGAATTGCTTGCGCCGCCAGAGCCATTGTTAACATTGATTTCTGGCTCAACCGCTGAATCGAATCACTTTTTAAGGAACATACGCAAGTATAATTCATGTTTCCAAATGACATCGTTCGGGGCGACAGAGATCATACTGAATTCTTATACATTTGCCCACATTCAAAGTGCAGGGACAAATCTAACATCTCGCAGCATCTCTTTTGCTGCTTCCCGATGCTGACCACAAGTTCTTGCATAATTTCATGGGTGCTCTGGATGAGCAAGTTGACAGACGGTGTCAGATCGATAACGCCACGGATCGTGATATCGTGGCAGCGTTGCAAAGCTTATCTGATCAACGCAACCACTTAGTTCGTTTATTCCGAACGGCGTTAGAGCGCATGCCGACAGATGAGTACAAGGTCCTAATCAGAGCTGACAAAACACCATCAGGCCAACACGGAAGGCGAATGGTTGTTCATCATTCAATATCGACCTATTGATTACATTCATTACAATGAACGAGAAATGTGAACAACAATGCGAACACAGAATGAACTAAATGTTTTCATCAAATTCATGTGGCCCTCTGCCTGTTCCAAGGAAATACATTCACGGTTCGCAGCGAAGCGCGACCGGGCAACCCTCTCCCGTGAGGAATGGTACCCAACACAGCCGTCGCGCTGCCTCGCTGCACATCCAAGGAGAGTCTCTGGCGGAGCAATGCTCCCCCTCTTCTGTCAGCCGTGGCTTTGATCAAGAGTTTTGATACCTTCGTGATGAGCTCTATCGTGAGCGGCCCCGGTCCGCCCAGAGTCTCGTTAGCCAATGGGGAGAAAAGGTGTTGCCTCTGAATATAGCTGTACTTGCGCAGCTTGGTTTGCTCAGCCTGAGTAGCGGCGAATCCCAGCTGTGTGGATATGTTATCTTCGTTTGGATAAATTCGGTCCTCTCTGAAACATTAGACGAGTCGGCTATTGGAGCCAGTCCGCTTGTAAAATATTTGCGAGCTGTCCGTGAATCGATATGCAAGGTCCTGAATCCCAGGCTAGCTGGGTCTCCGTAGAGCATCCGACCGTGCATCATCCCATCAATCGACCGCTTGAAGAAACGTTTCAAAACAAAACTCCGCCTTGCCCCCAAGCACCTCGCGTGCTTCCCACGAACGCAGGCGAAAGGTTTCATTCTTCTGGATCAATTAGCGAATCGGAAAAGCTCGCCTCGATGCGGAACGATCAATCGATGGCGTCGGAATTTGTGAAGATTTTCTGTTGGCACAACGTAGCGTCGGATCCCTATTCCTTACATAGGCACCTACACGCACGTCCAGAAACAACGGCGCGCAAGCTGGGTTCCGCGGAATCTCTGGCATCCCTCCTTCGGAACCGGGGATTTCGTTTTCTCATCCCCGAGAAACATGTCACATAGTTCACTCCGAATTCAAGTCTCCAGTACCTCGCCAGAATAAAATAAGTTGCTCTCCGGAAAAAGTTGGAAAATGGCAAGGTCCAAATCTCAGGAATACTCACTTGTTCATCGGAAAAGAAGCGCCCCGAAGACACTCGAGGGACGAAGCTAATACGAGATTACGAGCCTAACGAGAGCTTAGGCCTCGAGGATACATCATCTTCTAAGTCTAGTGACAAGCTGGGATTCGTCTAGAAGATGATATCAACAGATACAGCCGGCGGTACTCCGACATGGACCTCAGGTTATTCCTAAGAAGTTCGTCAGCTCAAGGCTCCACCGAGGGAAAAGTTTGGATATTGCTGCCGGGAGGGCGAAAATGACGGTAT